CGGAGGGAAAGAAACACACAGACACAATCAATCGTCGACTCCCAGGAAAAGGTGCAAAAATATGGGAAGTGGGGGGAAGACAAACACCCAACAAATACGGGAAACTATGGGGCATCTTTTTTATCTGTGTGTATTTATTTGTGTGTCCCGGGGCCCCTTCAAAGGCATGGCCCTGAGGCGAGGGCCCACTTCTTATAGCTAGGCTGCTTCTCGGAGCCTGTTGCAAGTGTCGACGACGAGTGTGCGCGGCGCCTGAGCGAGAGCACCATTTTCAAAACCACCTGCCTCTATCATTCCACTTGTCGTAGAAGAGTGAAGCGGCTGTGCGCGGCGCCTCAGGAGACGCTCAGGAGATAGCCGCACGTTGAGAAGAACCGCGCTCCATCTTCGGAGCTGCTACAGCGTTGTGGTATACATTTGCGCGGTGCGCGGGCGAACGCCACATTTTGAACACGACCCCCCTCCACCTGTGAATGTGCTGCATACCGTGAAGACGAATGTGCGTGGCGCTAAAGTGAGAGTCCGATTCTGAAAAGGATCCCCATCCATCCCAGAAGTTGTTGCAGATGCTGAAGCGACGTGTGCCCCATCCTCCCAGCCGTTACGAGTGTCCAATTTCAGGCGCAGAAGTGGGGAGGAAGGCCCACGCGAAACGCCCAGCCCGCCCTGACAACACGTCTGAGGGTAATTACGGCAGTAAGGAGTTCAGGGTTGGAGGAGGAGGAGGAAGAGGAGCAGGAGGAGGAGAAGGAGATCATGGATCAACGTGCCGGAATACAGAGGATGGGGAGAAGGAGGAGGAAATCGCGCAAGTCTCCTTCTTGCTCCTGCTGCTCGTCCTCTTCCTGACTCCTCCTGCTGCTGCTGCTGCTCCCCCTCCTCATCATCACGATCATCCCCCTATTTTACTCGTCATCCTCGTCCCTCTTTCCAGCGGTCCATCTTCTCTCACTCCTCCCACCTTACGCGAGGAGGTTTTAGGATCAGTCCCATTCACCGCCCAACAATACAGGGAAAATAATCTCCGCCGCGACGAGGGGGCTTTAGGACCAGTCCCATTCACCGCCGAGAGAGGAGGCGGGGGGGGGAGTGTCAAAACTGAAAGCTTGTCGCGGCTTCTTGCTCCACGCTTCCTCGTCTGCCCCCCTTCCCCACTTTTCTCCCCTCCTCACGGGGCCTCCCTGGCCCGCACCGCACGTCCTCCCAGACCCCCCGGCGGACCCTCCCTGCCCCGACTCCCCCCGATTCCTCGGACTCTCCGCGCGCTCCCCGCGGGCTCCCCGCGCTCCTTCAGGCCTCCTGGATGGGGTCGGAGCAGATGGGGTCAGTGGTCCGCGCCGGATCGCCGATGCATTGGCGATGCGGCTCGATGTGGAGCCCGATTTTCTCCACGCCGACGTCGGCGATGCATCGCCGACGTCGCCGATGCAGCACTGCATCGCCGATGCGTCGCCGATGCATCGGCGATGCGGCGCGATCCTCCGACCCCTATCTACTCGGGCCCCATCTAGGAGGCCTCCAGGCTCCCCGCGCTCCACGGTCTGCTTGGGATCCCCGGCGGACTCCCCGACTCCCTGGCGTCTGGGAGCGTACGAGGCGGAGCTGGGCATTGTGGAATTTGGGACCTCATACCCGCCCCCTCCCGCCCAACGCCCGCCCCAAGCCCCTGGTCGACGCCTCTCCCTGGGGTCAACGTTGCTGGGCTGCTGTGGAACGCCCAGCGCGTCCCGCAGTTCCCTGCGAAGGAGGCTGCGCCCACAGGCTCAACACGCCACCTCGCTGGGAGGTCCTCCGTCCATCCGTGCATCCCAGACTCCCTAGACATGGACTCCCCACAACGCCCCCTGACTCCCCAGTCTCCCAGAAGCCTAATCCAACCCAGTTGTGCACTGCTCTCCTGGCGCCAGGGCATTGCAAACCAGGTACGTGCCAGATCCAGGGGGACGAAACGAATGATAGGGAATGTCTCGATCATTTGTGCAGTGTTTGTGGACGTGCCAGTGATCCGGTTTTCCAGAATTCCCGTTCACAAGACATTACCAGGTGACCGGGGATCTCCCGCGGGAGCTTCTGGAGGCCGCCCCAAGAAAGTTCTGGCATATATATATATATATATATATATATATGTATATATAGATTATCATTGCCCGCATGTTCCTGCTTCTGCCCCCCTTCCGTGCACAGTATTCCTCCCCGTCGCACCCCGAGGCGTCTCGGTATGACGGGCCGGGCATTTCATTTAAGTCTTCCCCACTACTGATGACCTTGAAATTGAAAAGTCGTAGCAGCTTCACGGATGGAGGGCGGGCCGTATTCAGCATGTGTTTCTTCCCATAGCGCCACGTACATTCGGTTTAAAAGATTGCAGGGGCTTCACAGATGGAGGGCGGGGCGTTTTCAAACATGTGGCTCTCGCTTCAGCGCGTCGCACATTCGTGCTAATAACAGTTAACACGAGCTTCACGGATGTAGTGCGGTTCCTTCTCCAAACTGTGGTTTGGGCACCGCGCATATTCGTCTTCAACGATTCCGACAGTTCAGCTAACTCTTATGGCTTACGTCCTTGACATTGTGTTTTGGCACGGCTTGGCGCTGTCAGGGCGCAGCGGTCACGTAAATCCGCGGTTTTGGAATCCCAGGAATGGCGTTCTGGCGCGATCCAGGAGGGAACAAGAGGAGGCGGAGGAGGACTAAGAATTGTTGACGCTTCGCGAATCCCCACCAGCCCATCCAGAAACGATACCCAGAGGAATTGCCTGGATCAGGGAAGTGGGCAGCACACAGAGGAAGCCATTCTGAGACATCTTAGGATATCTTGAGCCATCTTGGAGGTCATCTTGGGCTCTCCCAGGCGCTCTTGGAGTGATCTTAATCAGTGCTCCCCCCCAAGAGGCCAACATGTGGCTAAAACCTTAGTGAAATCAATGATTTGGCATTCTCGCCGAGGCCTCTTGGAGCATCTTGGGTGCCTGTAGGGGGGTCTCTTGGGGCCTCTTGGGGATCTCTTGGGGGGCCTCTTGGGGGCCTCTTGGGGGCCTCTTAGGGCCATCTGGGAACCTCTTGGGGCTTCCTGGGCGCTTCTTGGGGCCATCTTGGAGGAGATCGATCAAACGAGAGGGGAACTGTTATTAGCGTCCCCCCCAGGAGGCCAAAATGGGGCCAACAAAAATAGTAAACCAAGTGATTATGGCTTCCTCGCCGAGGCCGTTTTGGCATTCTCGCCGAGGCCTCTTGGAGCATCTTGGGTGCCTCTGGGGGGTCTCTTGGGGCATCTTGGGGGTCTCTTGGGGGCCTCTTAGGGGCCTCTTGGGGGCCTCTTGGGGGCCATCTTGGAGGAGATCGATCAAACAAGAGGGGAGCAGTAATTTGCGTCCCCCCCAAGGAGGGCAGCATTGGGCCCAAACCTTAGTAAAACCAGTGATTGTGGCTTTCTCGCCGAGGCCGTTTTGGCATTCTCGCCGAGGCCTCTTGGAGCATCTTGGGTGCCTCTGGGGGGTCTCTTGGGGCATCTTGGGGGTCTCTTGGGGGCCTCTTAGGGGCCTCTTGGGGGCCTCTTGGGGGCCATCTTGGAGCCATCTTGGAACCCTTTTGGGCCTCCTGGGCGCTTCTTGGGGCCATCTTGGAGGAGGTCGATCAAACAAGAGGGGAGCGTCAATTAGGGTCCGCCCCCCAGGAGGCCAAAATGGAGCCAAAACCATTGTAAAATCAAGGATGTTGGCTTCCTCGCCGAGGCCGGTTTGGACGCCCGACTCGCGACCCCCCCTCCAGGTCCACGGGGAGGGGGTAGGGGGAGGGGTAAACCCCTCCCCGAAAGGGAAGAAGGAGGGGTGGAAGAGGAAACGCTCTAAACCACCGACGCCCAGAGGGCTGGTGGGATTATCACATAGACGGCGACGAGGGAACAGTAATGGGAGGCGGACGAGCAGAAGGGAGGAGGAGGAAGAGGAGGAGGAGGAGGAGGCGGAGGAGGAGGAGGAGGAGGAGGGAGAGGAGCAGAGAATGGAGTTCCGTAGCTTTTGTGGCTTAAGACACGCGCCTAGGACGGCCGCTGTTCATCCCCATACAGTACTCGATCTGCACGCGAAACAAATGACCGCCACGGCCGCCCGCGCGGCGACCCTCGCAGCCCTGCTGGCGCCGGTCGCGGTCGCCCTCAAGCCGCGGGGGGGCGGCGTGACCCGGCTCGGGGTGATGAACCAGTACGGCGTCACCAGGTACACCAGCGAGGAGCTGCAAAAAACGCCCTCAAGCAAGTTCTACTGGCCGGACTCTGCCAACCGCGATCGCTACGACTTCATCGGCGCCTCGGACCTCACCGAGAACATATCCTGGGGCTGGCACCACCCGAACGGTGTCTACAACACGATTCCGGTGGGCGCCCCCCTCATCGACGGCGACCAGAACATCTACCTCGGCTCGGACGACGCCGTGCGGAAGTTCAGCGCCTCTGGCGACCTCCTGTGGAGCTATGCCCCCCGAGGCCAGCTCGCTGCCGCGCCCACTCTGCTGGGGGCCACCGCTGGCGACTCGGACCGGGAGGGCGTGACGTTCTCCAGGGACGAGGAGACCCAGCTGGAGGACACGCTGTCGCCAGAGACTCTGAAGCCCTGGGGCGCCGCTCGCCTGGCGGCCGAGCCTGCCGCCGGCGCGGCCCTCGGGCTCTTCCGGGAGCTCCGGGTGGGCGACCGGGTCAAGGTAAAGCCGGGCGTGGGGTACCACGCGGACGGCAAGGAGTACTACAAGGCCTCCTCCTCCTCTGCCTCCTCCTCCTCCTCCTCCTCCTCCTCTGCCTCCTCCTCCTCCTCCTCCTCCTCCACTCCTCCTCCTCTCCCCTCCTCCTCCTCCTCCTCTCCTCCTCCTCCTCCTCCCTCCTCCTCCTCCTCCTCCTCCTCCTCCCCCTCCCCCCTCGCCCTCCCTCCCCTTGGCCCCAGACCGATGGCGTGCTCGGCCTCCTGGCCGAGCCCCGCCATCGGTCTGGGGCCTGCCTGCCGCAAAAGAAGGCGGGGGACCTCGGCCAGATCGAGAAGGTGGACGTCGCTGGGGGCGAGCCGAGGGCAACGATCCGCTGGCAGCGCAGCGGCCACCGCAGCGTCGCGGGCCTCTCCGCCCTGAGCAAGAGGTCAAGCAGTGGCGAAGCGTCCCGGCTCGCTGATAGCCGGGCCCCACCAAAGAATGTTCTAAGGGCTTTTTGTGGTTTCCACGAAATATTAGAACATTTCTGGCTGGGACTGTCTTGTTTAACACATCGGGCTTATATTCTAAGAACATTGTTTCTGTTCTTAGAACATTGTCGGGTTCTAAGAACATGTTGCGGTAGGACTATAGGACTGCCGGGACAGTCGGTCCCTGCTCAAAGAGGTTCGTGAGCATCCGGGCGCCGAGGAGGTCCGCGCCTGCCATGCTGGTGGGCAGCACCACCTCCGGCTACGTGTTCGCTCTGGAGCTGGCGACGGGAGAGGAGCTGTGGGCGACCCAGGCTTCGGAACAGATCGCCGGCGTGAAGGGCGCGGTCTCTGGCAGTGGCGGGGTAGTGGTGGTCGCGACCGACCGCTGCACCGACCACCTCTGCTACCGCTACCGCAACAGCTCCAACCCACTGACTCCTGGCAACAGGGTCGTCCGGGGCATCAGCGCCTCGGACGGCAGCTCCCTGTGGGAGTACAGGACCTTCTCCCCGGTGTGGAACTTTGTGCCGCAGTATCACACGAGCGACGGGACCGTGATGTTCAGCGACCAGGAGGGCAACACGTACTGCCTGGACCTCGAGTCCGGGACCGAGAGGTGGATGCAAGAGGGGGCCATGGGCACTTACACCCAAGCCAACGCCGTGTACGATCCCTCAACGAACCTCATCTTCGCCATGGGCGTGCAGGCGTTCGAAGAGGAAACAACGCCATAAGCGTAAACTTTTGGCGCTCCGCGCGGACTTCTTGAATCCGCGCCTGGGCCCCCCCCCCCAGCGGCGCCTACGGCGCCGCCCCTGGCGCGCTCCGCGCGCCAGGGAGGGGGGTCCAGCGCAGATCCACGAAATCCGCGCGGAGCGCCAACATTTTCTGTTTGTGTGTTTTTGTTTCCCTTCTAGGCATACGACAGCAAGTACTGCAACCCGTTCCCCGCCCCTGGCGTCCTACCCGACTGCGGCACGTGGCCGGGCTCGCCCGGCTGGGTGCGCGCGCTCAACGCGAGCTCTGGCCGCGCGCGATGGGAGCGCGAGACCCCAGAGCCCCCGGCCAGCGCCGCCGTCGGCATTCGATGAAGAAAAATCGCCGTAAACAAAAACTTTTGGCGCTCCGCGCGGATTTCTTGGATCCGCGCTGGGCCCCCCAGCGGCGCCTCCGGCGCCGCCCCTGGCGCGCTCCGCGCGCCAGGGAGGGAGGTCCAGCGCAGATCCAAGAAATCCGCGCGGAGCGCCAAAAGTTTATATTCGTGTTTACGGCGGTTTTTCTTCTTTTCAGGCATGCTGAACAGCCCCCAGTTCCACTCCCGGCTCGTGATCGCCATGGGGCACAACTGCCACTACAACTCCCCCTCCAAGATCTGGGCCGTCGACCCCCCCAACGGCGACATCCGCTGGTCGAAGGACGGCCCGACGCTGTGGGCGGACATGTGCGCGGGCGACAAGGATTGAGCCGGGCACGTCCCTCCACGGGAGGAATATCCCAAAAATAGTCAAAAATAATATTGGGACGATTTTTTGACTGTGTTTGATTATGCTGGTTTTCTCTTTGCTATTTGCTCCGTTCGTGCAAAATCCGCGTGTATCAGGAGGTAAAAAAACACACAGACACAATGAATTGTCCACTCCCAGGAACATATGGGAACATATGGGAAGTGGGGGGGAAGACAAAAACCCGAAAAATATCGGAGAATATGGGGAATCTTTTTATTTGTGTGTATTTATTTGTGTGTCCTGGGGCCCCTTCAGTGTAGGGGGGCATGCCCGAGCTAAGACAAGGAAGGCGGCGACATCCGCAGGGCCATGGGCGGGCGAGCGGCGTGCGTGCCGGGCGCCTGGTCCACCCCTGCGATCGACCAGCGCGGCGACGTCTACATCGGCAGCCAGGTGTGTGACGGGCCCAACCTTCCGCCACCATTCGCATGGGTAGGAGAGGGAGGAGGAGAGGGAGAAGGAGGAGGAGAGGAGGACCTCCCCATCCTCCCTTCTCCCCCGTCCTAAATATGGCAGCGGTGGTGGGAAATTGGCCCATCCAGGTGGGTGAGCTCCAGAGGTGGGGGTCGGAGACAAACGAGGGGGCGAAGAGCGTCAAGCTGCTCTCCACGCTGACCACGGGAGTGGCCTTCCAGGACCAGGCCGTGGCATTCTCCACAGGCATCATGGCCGTGTCGACGTGCACGTCGCTCCTGGTCTTCCAGACCTTCCCAGACAACCTGACGGTGGACAGCTCATGGTACTAGCGAGAGTACATAGTGAGGGCTCGGAGTGAGCTTCGCTCGCCTAGCCGGCATGCGGGTCTTGTAGCACAGCCAAACGTTGCCCATGCCGATGAACCTGGGACGGCTTGTCCTTTGGGCTTTGGCGCACGGATTGAGTGCGCTCTGGCTTAGCTTCGTTCGTTGTAATGCGTTCGACAAACGTACGTCTTGCATGTTTGGCATACGTACGTCCATGCAAAACATGATTAGCAGAGAGGGGAGGAGGAGGGATGGGGAGGAAGGGAAGCAAAGGCAGATATGAGTAGGTGGAGGAGGTGGAGGAGGAGGAAGAGGAGGAGAAGAAGGAGGAGGAGGAGGAGCAGGAGGAGGAGGAGGAGGAGGATGAAGAGAAAGAGGAAAAGGAAGAGGAAGAGGAGGAGGAGGAGGAGGAGAAGGAGGAGAGGGAGGAGGAGAAGGCGGAGAAGGTTCAGGAGGGAGAGGTGGGAGAGGAGGAGGAAAAGGAGGATTAGGAGGACCAGAAGGAGGGCGAGGAGGAAATCGACGACGACAACGACGCCGACGCCTACGCCGACGCCGACGCCGACGCCGACGCCGACGCCGACGACGACGACGACGAAGACGACGACGACGACGACGACGACGACGACGACGACGACGACGACGACGGCGAAGACGACTTGCCTCCGGCCAGACGGACCGTCGCAGGTCGTGCCCAGCCCCTCCAACAGGGTGATGCAGGGCCGGACCAGGCCTCGGGCGCCTCGGGGTCGTCGCCGTGGGAGGCAGAGGAGGGGTGGTAAGCTTTGCTCCCGCCCGCGAGCCTGCCCTCCGGAGGTCCCCGGAGGCGCCTGGAGGCCCGACAAGGGCCGGCAAGGGGCCGGAAGCGTCTAAGAATCGTCCGTAGACGTTCGACATCCCTTGATCCTCAAGGAGGGCCGAGGGCAGAGCTCGGGGTGGGAGGCAGGGGCGGGGGCAGTCAAGAGGGGGCACGGTCGGAGGCGGAGGAGGGATGCTGGGGGCAGGGGGGGAGGAGGAGAGGGGGGCCAGGGGGGAGGAGAGGGGGGGCAGGGGGGGAGGAGGGGGGGGCAGGGGGGAAGAGAGGGGCAGCGCCGAGCGCCGAGGAGTCGCAGGCTTGGGCTCTGGGGCGCGCGGCTTCGCGGCGGGCCCCGTCTTCGTGCGACATCGCGGGGCTTCGTCGACACATCGGGCGGCACTGGCCTCCCGTTTCGGGGGGCACCTTCCCCCGGCCCAAGGAGCTTCAGAGGAGAAGAGGTGCCCACGCCGCTGTCCTCCCCTGGCTTTCCCCTTTTGAGGTCTCCTGGGAGGCCCTCGTCGCCAGCGCTGGATTCGCTTCGAACTCCTGGTCAGTGCCCCCCCCCCGGGAGTGGTTCGGGGAGCTGCGGTATTGGTCCCTTTTGGCTTCCCCCCAGATCTGGTGGCGCCGACGCGCCAGATCCACGGATTCCTAATCCATGCTAGCGTGCGCCCGATGGGAGGAACAGGGGGCGGGCGGGGAGGGGTAGCGCGAGGGGCAGGCGGAGGGAAGAGGGTGGGAGGACCAGCGGCAGCAGGAGGAGGGCTCGGGGAGTTGGAAGAGGGGCGATGGAGGAGGAGCAGGAGGACGACGGCCAGAGCACACCCAGGGTGCACCAGCGATGCCGCCACGCACCCTCCCCTTCCGGGTGCCCTCCGCCCAGGTCGGGCATGTACCCTTCGTGTGCCATGGGCCTCCAAGGGCGGCTCCGCGCTTGCGTTGGGCCCGCGAGGTGGAGGAGGAGGAGGAGGAGGAGGAGGAGGAGGAGGAGGAGGAGGAGGAGGAGGAGGAGGCCCCGCTCAGTCCCGTGGGTGGCCAACGGCGCCGAGGCCCGCCCCCGGGAGCCCTGCGGCATCGCTCTCTCCCCGGCGGGAGGCACGGCTCTCGGTGGGAGGTCCTGCCTCTATTCCTCCTATCCCTCCTATCCCTCCTATCCCTCCTCCTTCTCCTCCTCCTCCTCCTCCTCCCCCTCCTCCTCCTGCTCCTCCTCCTCCTCCTCCTACTCCTATTCCTCCTATTCCTCCTATTCCTCCTATTCCGGCGGCGGGGCCAGGTGGTGCCCGCACCCTGCGGGGTAGCGGGCAGACGGTGTGTGTGTGTGTCCTCTTTGTTGCTTTGCTTCTATATGTTTGTTGCCAGTGATGGGGCCACACGGCCATGCACTGTCCCTGGGAGCATGGCTGAAGTGAGGTTCCGCGCAGCGAACTGTTGCTGTTTGTTGCCGTCGTCAACCCGCGACCTGGCCCGCGACCCACCCGCGACCCTCCCGCGACCCTCTCGCGACCAACCCGCGATCCACCCACATTGCTTTAACGAAAAATATCGGCGCCTGCGGCGGGCTCGTTGTATAGCTTGTAACAATTAGGCGCCTGCGGCAGGCTTCTTCAGAGCCTCGCACACTGCCGACGTCTCCGCCGCCCCCCATCCCTCTTCTCCGCAACTGCGGGGTGCTACGTGTGTATATGTATACATATTAAACAAACGATAATAATAATGATGATACGAATATTACTAGTAATTCTAATACGTGTGTCTGTAGAAATATATACTTTAAATAGATGAAATACTGCATTGGCGTTCTTCGCGCCATGCACTTTGGTCCTTGAAGTTTGGTATGCAGGCGAAATGACAGGGAGGTCAAGCCGACACGTTAGCGATAACTCCTTGTTGCCTTTATCGCCATCGCCGTTATAATAATATTATTCGTTATCCAGCCTCTGTGTGTATGGTTCCTCATTCTCGCCATACCCTGCGTATTCTCGCCGTCCTCCTCAACTCTTTTTGCGGAGGCTCCTCCCTGGAGAGCCTCTGGGGGCCTCACAAAAGTTGTTTCAGGCTTCTTGAGGCTTTCTGGAGGCCTCATGGGCGTCTTCTGGGGGCCACCCTGCCTCCAACCGCGGACTCTGAATGACCGGGTCACGATTTGAAATGCTTCGGAGGCTGTCTTGGGGCCATCTTGGGCTGTCATGGGGCTTTTCTTGCATTGTCTGGAAGCCCTTTCGGATGGTTGCGGGGCGATTTTGACGCCACAGGCAAGGGATGTCGAAAATGGGCCCATGCGCGCCCTGCCCGCAATGCGGCCCCCGGGGTGGACGACCCAGAAGAGCAACAGCAGGCAGAAGAGGGAACGGCACCTGGGGACCAGGACGAACCCGGAGCCGGGGGGGAGAAGAGCGAGCGACAAGGAGCGAGGCGGTGCGGCGGTGCCCAGTGAGAGCGGCGTTCTCGAAATGAACCTCCACCCGCGGCAGCCTGCACGAGGAAGCCGCAGGTGGGAACCCCGCTTTGCTCAGGGGACGGCATCACTCCGTGCACGTGTTGCCAACTCGGGAGTTTCGGGCGGTGTGCTGCTTGGACGTTTCAAGAGACAGCCCGGCTCCAGAACGGAACCGCCTTCCATAGTTACATCTGTTGCCAGCGTTTCAGAAGAATGCGCTCGGCGCTTCGGCGAGATCCACTTTTGGGGAGCAACCCGCCCTCCTAACTGATGGTGTTTGGCGGCGAAAGTGCGCGGAGTTACGGCGAAGATGTGTTTGAGGGAAACGACCCGCCGTCCATCTTCGCAGTTGCTGGAACCATTCCGAAATCTGCCAGTCCTGCGCAAAGCGCTGAGGCGTCCCTCTATTTATCCTTGTAGCTGCCAGCCAGTGGTAATCTCCAGGATCGCAGACAGTGATGAGGTTTCACGCGCCACAGTCCAGCCCGCTCTCCTGATTCGTCTGTTGCAGCGAACAGGCGGAGTTACTCATAGGGACGGGGGGGATGAGGAGGAGTAGGAGGAGTAGAACGTCGACACCACGTGGACGTTCATACGCCAAGACAATGCCACAACGGAAGTCGAAACTTGAAACCATGTAAGTGTTTCAAGTCGACCAGATTTGCATTTCTAACCTTTGCGGGCGTGCCCTGAGGGTGAGCGTATAGGCCTGTAGCTACGCGGGCCATAGTTGGGTCCCTTGGGACTGACAGCTCTTCGCTGGGTCAGAAAGTTGCGCGGCTCGGTTGTAGATGTACGCCCGCGCCTGCTGTATACCGCAAGTGTATACCCAACGCAGCTATGTACGACGTGTGAGTCACACAGCGCCTTGCCTCCCAGCATCCGCCTGCACCCCAGCGGGGCACGGAGGGGCAACGGCACACACCGTCGGGGCCGTGGCGAGGAGACGCTCGCGTTGTACGACCAGTGTGTATTTCCTGCGCAGACACGCTGCCAATCCTGGGCCAGTCGTGGCCAGTTCGGATTTCGGCGGCCGACCGGGGTGCGTGTCGGAGGGCCGAGACCTGGCCCACAGATCGGCGAGGGGCGTCCTGCGGCCTCCTGGAGCTCTCTGGGGCCTCCTGGGGCTCCCGGGGTCCCCGGGAGGATAGGTAACATGTGGGCTTCTGGGCCCCCAGGCCGGACCACCTCCTGCGCGGCATCTGGGAGCTCAGAGTTGCGAGAATGTCTCAGGCGAGACGGGCCAGACCACCTCGCGCAGGGCATCTCAGAGCTCAGAAGTTTGAGGATGTCTCAGGCGGGCTCCCAGGGTCCCAGGGAGGATATGTAACATGTGGTCTTCTGGGCCCCCAGGCTGGACTACCTCTTGCGCGGCATCTGGGAGCTCAGAGTTGCGAGAATGTCTTGTGCGAAACAGGCCCGACCACCTTGCGCACGCCGTCAGAAGGGTTCCCGAAGGGCTTCCACGTCCGCCACCTCTGCGACGGGAGAGTGGCGCGCGAACTCGGCCCGCGCTGTCGCCGCAGCTCGGCCCGCCAGCTCGTCCGCACGCCTGCTCCCCGCCGCCCACGACAAGTCCCGGGGGGCGTGGACCTCGCGCAGGCTCCTGGCCCGAAACGGACCTGAGCGGGCAACGGCTGAGCTCGAGGGCCCCCGCAAAGGCCGTGAGCTCCGCCCAGGGGACCGTCTGCCTGCGCCCTGGGAGGCCGCACGAGAGCCCAGCGGCGAGGGGCCCATCCACTCGCTGGGAGGGCTGCCGGGGCCACCGCACCGGATCCGACTCTGCTCCGGCGCGGGTCCGCGGAGTGCCGTTCGCGGCTCGAGGGACGGGGGTCAATGCAGACGTGGGTCAGTCAGAGTGCCAGACGCTGCAGGATCCTGCAGGGCCAGGGGATCCATGCCCACCGCGAAGCACCTCGCCCCCACGGAGCTGCCAGGGGCCATTCCTGCGCGGCGCTCCACCAGCTTTGCGTTGGGGGGACCGCCGGGAAGCAAAAACCATTATCGGGGGAGCGTAAGACCCGGGTTTGCCAGGACTCGGGTTCGCCATCGTTTTTTGACGACCGCGCCTCGGATTTTGACGAGGAGGAGTCTCAAGGGATGTCTGCAGCGGGAGGCCTCGTCAAAATGCAGGCTCGGCCTCGTCATTTTTGTTGACGACCTCGTCGGGGATTTCCGGGTCCCCTGTACCCAGGTCTTACGTCCCCCTGACGTCACTAAGGAACAGACCCGCTCCCGCGCAGCACCCGGCCGACCCTGGGGCTGCGGAAGGCCCCCGCCCCTGCGGCACCCCGCCGGTTCCCAGCATGCGGGGGCCGCCGGGTGGTACCCCTTTCTCCCGGGGGCCCCGTGGGCGAGGTGCCCCCCGCTCCAGCGTCGGGCTCCAGCGGACACGTACCCCGGCCGCGGGAAGGGGCAGCTGGCGGGCACGGCTCGGGATGAGAGCCCGCGGCGGGCGGCCTGGCTGGGCGCGCGGCCCGACTGGGGCGGCATTCAGCGGCGCGGAGGGAAGGAAGGAAGGAAGGAAGGAAGGAAGGAAGGAAGGAAGGAAGGAAGGAAGGAAGGAAGGAAGGAAGGAAGGAAGGAAGGAAGGAAGGAATGAGAGTGGATGAGGCGGAGTGAACCCAAGATGCGACAATTTACCCTCTCCCGTCCCATGTGCCCCTGCCACAAGCCCCTTCAAGCTTTCCTCTCCGCTTCGAGAAGCGCCCTCTTTCATGCCCCCTTGGTAGACCAGCGCCCTACGGATTTGCCATGCAGGCGGGAGCTCTGCGCGAAACGTGAAATAATTGCCGTGCATTTTTCCACCGGGTCAGAAGGAACACGCACATGCACAATGATACAATTCAGCGAGGGGCCCAGAGAGATCCCAGTGTTGGAAGAACTGGTGTACATTTCTTGCACAAGTTGCCACTTCTGGCCATGCGTGCCGAGGACGTCTCAAGCGAGAGCCCCGTTTTGAAGATGAGCCGCCCTCCGTTCGTGCAGATCTACCATCTGTTCAAGTGGCTTGCTTTCTCATGTAGAAAAGTCTCGAGCGAAGGCCAAAGTTTGAAAGGGGCATCCGTTTTTTTTCGTGCAGCTGTTGCACATGTTCAAGCTTCTGGTCTCTCGGTTTCAAACGTCGTCAGTGAGAGCCGCACTTTGAAAATGAACCGCCTATTGGCCCTGCAATTGTTGTTTAAAGCGTTCAGCACGAATGCGCGCGGCGCTGAGGCGACAGACCCATTTTGAGAGGGAGCCACCATCCATCCTGGAGGCCGTTGCAGGCTTAGGGTGGCAGCTCCATTTCGGAAAAAAGGAACCGCGCTCCATCCCACAAGCTGCTGCACGCATTTAAGAAGAATGCGCGCGGTGCTAAAGCGAACGCTCCATGTCGAAAAGGATACGCCCTCCGTCGGGGAGTCTGCTGCAGATGTTTGAGCCGAGTGTGCGCGGCGTGACGGCCAGGGTTCCAGAGGCGAGGAGGACGAGGGTAGTGGGAGGAGGCGGAGCGGGAGGCGGAGGGCGTAAGAGGGAGGGGCGAGGGACGAGGGACAAGAGCCGAAGAGGGACGACGGCCACGATAAGGGCGAGGGCCGCCAGGCCTGCGGCCTTGGCGGAGAGCCCGCCAGCCATGGCCGCCATCCCCGAGAGCCCCTCGGCCGCTGCGGGGCACGGCGCTCAGCACGCCGCGCGCGGTCGCCGTTGCCCACGCGCGCATCCGCCGCCGCCGCCGCCGACGACGACGACGACGACGACGACGACGACCACGACGACGCCGACGACGCCGCCGACGACAACGAAGACGACGACGACGAGGACGAGTACGACGAGTGGCCGTGACCGCGCCGTCGACGATGAGGACGACGACGCGGACGACGGCCTCTTTGGTGCACCTCGGGGGCCTCTGGTGGGATCTTGGGGCCATCCTGGGGTGGAGGGCTCAAAATGTCAGTTCGTGTTCCCCCCTCTTGGGGCTGTCTTGGGGGCCTCCTGGGTCCCTCTTGGGAGCTATTGGCCAGTTTCCAGGCGAGGTTGGGCGCCTCTTTGGGTCGTCTTGGACGCTCTGACGGCCGAGAATATTGTACGTAATGCCAATGGGTTTTGCTAATTTTGGCTTCTTGCGCCGCATGGGCCTCCAAGACGGCCCAGGAGGCGCTCAAGAGGGCTCCAGGACGGTCTTCCAGGCCATCCTAGGCCACGTTGGACGTGCATGGCCCGCGCAGCACGCTCTTGGCTTCCGAAAAAAGTCGCGCGGGGACCCCCCGGCAGCTCCCAAGAGCGTCCAGGAGCGCCCAGAATTGCGGGCTGTGGGCTGTGAGCCCCTCAAAGAATAATTACACACTCAATGCAGGGAGCTCGCAGGTAGCTGAGGGTGCCTGGAGGAACGGTGGCGGATTTGAAGGGCTTCGTGTGTCACGTCGCGTCGCCACTCGCGTCGAGTCTGCGACGAATCTACGTCGATCTCATGCCGAGCCCGCGTCGAACCCGCGTCGGACAGATTAAACGACCGCCGGTGACAGGACAGAGGCGTTTCCCTTTAGTTGCAGCGTGAGCTCCTCGCCCGGCTGCTTCTCCTCTGCTGCTGCTGCTGCTGCTTCGGGCACATCTGCGCGGACAAGTTTTACTTTGAACACCTGAAGACTAACATGCGCACCACTGGACCACTATCAGAGGAACAAAAAGTCACATAAACATAAAAACTCGGAGGTCCGCGCGGATTTCTCGGATCGGCGCTGGATCCCCCTCCCTGGCGCGCTCCGCGCGCCAGGGACGGCGCCGGAGGCGCCGCCGGGGGGCCCCCGCGCCGATCCGAGAAATCTGCGCGGACCTCTGAGTTTTTATGTGTATGCCACTTTTTGCTCCCCCAGCTCTTGGGCCACTGGTGCGGTAGCAGAGGAGACGAGCGCCGCAGCGGCTCGCCCCAGAAGGAGGGCACTGCGCTGCCTCCAATCGCGCAAGGGCGACCGCGCGCACCCCGTGCCACGGAGGTGGCCCTGGTGCCGGGTGAGGCTCAGCAGGCTGCAGCAGACGCGGCATCTGCGGCCCGGTTGCCGCCCGCCGAGCTCAAGTGCAAGGCCCTGCACGCTGGTATAGCTCCACGAGCTCTGTATTCGAGGAGGAGGAGGAGGAGGAGGAGGAGGAGGAGGAGGAGGAGGGCACGCTGGTACCTCCACGAGCTCTGTATTTCGTGGCTTTCGCAGCCTCGGCAGCGGTCGCTCCAGCACCGGCGGTCGCCGAAGGGCCGCGGCGGTTGTGTGTGCTAACGACACGGGCGTCGCCGTGGAAAACCGGTAGCGAGCAGTGGCCCCAGAGCTGGACGTCCACGCGCGGTTCGCGCATGGAATCAGTAGCAAGCTCTGGAAGCACAACCTCGCGCGTTGCTGCAAGACCAGCTGTGCGAGCAGACGTCGCGAGCTCATCGCACACTCCATCGTGCAGACGGTTGTGGGCCCCTCCGACCATGCATGAGGTCGCGTGATCTCCATGCTCGTCAAGTGGGTGCCACAGACCATGCCAGCACGCGTCCGGTGCTGGCATAAACATGCAACGCCAAACTGTGGAAGCCGGAGACGCCGGCGGAATTTGAAGCGGAACTCATCTTCCGACCAGGGAGCCAAATCCCATGTGGCATGGGCCGCAGATCCGGGCCCGCCTTCGGGGCCGCCTCCGGACAGCCAGTGATTCCGCTGCCCAGGCGTTCTGGCGGAAAGAGCGGCATCGGCCGCTCGAAGCATCCACCATTTTCGGTGGTGCCGCAGCGCGACGCCTGCAGCTACAGCGTTCTCGAGCGAAAACGCGTGGGCAACCGTCTGCTCATCAGGCCCCGCCTGGGGCATCCCCCACGCGTCGAGGAAGGCTCCGCTCGCAGCTGGCCGGCCGAGGCAATCCCTGGCAGCAGCGAGTATACCAGTGCGCTCGTACCCCAGATCGGTGACAGCTGGCTGCAGGACGACGGCGAGCTGCCGAGAGGCTTTCGGCAGCGTGCTGAAGAGCGTAGCGAGATATCAAAAGTGAGCTTCAAAAGCTATTGGTCGGGTTGACCCAAAAGGGGGTCCAGCGACAAGGGTGTGGTGCAATAGATTTGGTTCAATAGATTTGTTGGATTGCAATACATTTAGGGCGTGCAATACATTCTGGGGCGCAAATGTATTGCTGGATTTTCGCGTGCAATACATTAGTTGCAATACAATGCAACACAATTCTCCAGCGCAATACGTCTGCAATACAATTGCCCCAAATCTATTGCACCACCCCCTTGCAGCTGGACCCCCTTTCGGGTCGCCAAGATTGGGGCGAAGCGCCATGCTTCCGTGGCTGAGCGTCGCAGTCAGAGTGCTGAAACTCGCCTGGCATTGTGGACCCGTGCAAGCAGTTCTTAAGAAGGCTGTTTGGACAAGGTCGCCGTGCTGCTGCTGCTGCTGCTGCCTCTCCTGCTGCTCATGCTGCTCCTCCTCCTCCTCCTCCTCCTCCTGCTCCTCCTCCTCCTGCTCCTCCTCCTTCTCCTCCCCTCCCTCCTTCGCCCCCTACAGCCAAGGCGCTGAGATGAGGACCGCTCTGGAGCCAGGAGGGGCTGGTAGCACATTGACTGTGAATGTCCTCGTCCTCCTGGTGGTCCTTCGCCTCCCCCTTCCCATGCCACTGGCCCTCCCCCCCCCCCCCCTCCGGAGTTCTGGGCAGCGCCCAGTCAGATCGGCCCCCCGGCTTGTCCAGGTGTCCCTCGAGGCCAGGTGCTTGCGCCGCGCGCAGCCGCGGCGACGAGGGATTCCCCCCCGGCAGGCGAGTTCCACTGCTCGGGCGGGGCTAGGACGAGCAGGGCGAGGACGAATCCGTCCCAGAGCGATCCGGAACGCTTTCAGAGCGTGATGGTCGGGGGTGGACAGACCTCCTACCCTGACACGTCGACTAAGGAATTGGCCGTTTTCGTTTCGCGAGAGGGCGTCGCGGCCGTCATTGTTGCGGCTCCAGGTCCGTCGGTTTCGGTCCACTGAGGGGAGGTCTACAAAAGGGAGGTTTGTCCACCGCTGAGATGGGACACTCTGAGAAGGCCGCGGCGCCCGATGCATCCCCCAGAGCCGCCGGATCTCAGGAATGCTCGATCTATCCTCACCCGACGTTTTCCTCGTCCTGGCTTAATGGAGGATGACGATTAATAAATGACCGGGGGTCGTGTTCACGCGGCGGCGCCCGGGATGACGATTAGAAAAAACCGGCCGCGGGCTGGAAGACTATTTCTTTTCATCGTTCTCCTCCAGTCAGAAAATTATTATTTTAATCGTTCCCCCCAATTTTTTGTATTAATCGTCATCCCGCATTAGTCGCAACTGCCTGATCTGCCAGGTCTGCGAGCGGGCCGCTGCTCGAAAGTCCTTCGGGGTTCCGCGTATAGGCGCTGCCGAAGGGGGGACGCTCCTCACCGGGGGACAGCCGCAGCTCGTCGCCTGCCGCAGGGCAGACGAGGAGGACGTTGGGCTTGGCATCGCTCGGACGTGTGTCCCTTTCCTCGGCGACGACCATCGAGGAGCACTAGGGGGAGGGATCCCCCCCTCCCTTCCTCGGAGGGTGGGGGGGGGGAGGTTCTTCACTATTTTCGGCTCCAGGGGGCCCTTACCAGGCCTCGGAACTGTCAGAAAACGACTCAGGATGAAAGACCGGTCCTGGGGGTCGACGTTGTGAAAATATCATAACATCGGGGGTCCATCGAGGGTCATCTTGCGGAAAAACCGGCAAACGAAAGCAAAATATGCACGGGGGATGGACGTTCGAGCCACGGCGAGTGTTGGGGGGGGAGGTGTTCCGAAGAGAGGGGGGCGAAGCCGCCATGCGAGCGCACCCCTTGGTGGCAAGAGGTGGAGCTCCATGTGGGGCCACGTAAGGTGTGAGGGGTGTACCGACATGGGCGCGGGGACGTGATGCGAACGCACCCGCTGGCGCAATGGGTGGAGCTCACCTCCGTGGCCACGATGCGCGTGAGAGATGTGCCGAAATGGGCAAGGGACTCCCGCTCTCCCTCCCTCCGCCCTCCTGTCCGAAGCTTCTCATGGTACGAGTGGCCGCGCTGGGGCCGCGTCGAAGCTTGTGGTTCAGGCGCGGCCCTCGCGGCCCTCGGGCGCCCCTGGCGCCAGATCTCGCGGGGGCACATCGGTCACCTGCGTGTTCCGTTGCGGGCCTTTTATGGTGGCGAGGGAGGGGAGGATGAATCCGTTCCAGAGCTGTCTGGAACGCTCTGGGAAGGCCGCGGCGCCCGAGACATCCTCCAGAGCCGCCGGATCTCAGAGATCCTTGATCTATCCTCACACGATGCTATCCTCGTCCTGTCTTCGTCATAGGAGGAGGAGGAGGAGGAGGAGGAGGAGGAGGAGGAGGAGGAGGAGGAGGAGGAGGAGGGAGGCGCAGGAGGAGGAGGAGGAGGAGGAGGAGGAGGAGCAGCAGGGCAGGAGGAGGGGGGAGGAGGAGGAGGAGGGGAGAGGAGGAGGAGGAGGAGGAGGAGGAGGAGGAGGAGGAGCAGGAGCAGGAGGAGGGAGGAGGAGAAGGAGAGAGAAGGAGGAGAAAGAGAAGAGGAGAAGGAGGAGGAGGTGGAGGAGGAGGAGGAGGAGGAGGAGGGAGGAGGAGCAGGAGGGAGGAGCAGGAGGAGGAGGAGGAGGAGAAGGAGGAGAAGGAGAAGGATGAGGAGCAGGAGGAGCAGGAGGAGGAGCAGGAGGAGAAGGAGGAGAAGGAGAAGGATGAGGAGCAGGAGGAGGACGAGGAGCAGGACAGATGGGGAGGAGGAGGAGGAGGAGGAGGAACAGGAGAGAGGAGGAGGAGGAAGAGGAGGACGAGGAGGAGGAGGAGGAGGAGGCTCCGGTCCACGAGCATGCGGGCGCTGCCCGCCCCTCGCCGAGGCTCAGAGTCTACGCGAACGTCTCCTCGTCGGTGCGCGGCGGCAAACCGCCGCCAATGCTGCCTGCTGGGCTGCCGCTCTTGGGGAGAATGCAGTCGAAGCCGGTGCTAAGGAACGGTAATAACCTTCCTAAGCAGAAGTCGGGCATGTCCCTCCTCAGTCTACAGGAGGAACATTTGAGAATAGTGAACAGATAGTCTGGGGACGACTTTTTGATTCTTGTCGGCAATTTTTGAATATTTGTTTAAATGCGATTACTTCTGTTTTTCCTCCCCAAATTCGCCTTAGGAAGACATACCCGACCTTCCCAAGGGTACCCTTGCATTCGTGCCTTTTTGCTCCATCCTTGATCGAGGAAGAAAGAAACGCTGTAAACATAAACTGTTGTCGCTCCGCGCAGATTTCTCGGATCCGCGCCGGGCACCCCCTGGCGGCGCCTCCGGTGCCGCCCCTGGCGCGCTCCGCGCGCCAGGGAGGTGGGTCCTGCGCGAACCCAAGAAATCCGCGCGGAGCAGCAACAGTTTATTTTTATGGTTTTGTTTTTAATATCTGGGTACATCCTTGACTACTGTGAACAGCCCGCCGCGCTCGATAAAGCTTCAACACGGGCGTGCAAGGGGCCTGCATCTTCATCGCGCATCCTTGCTATCAGTCTTGACTGCAAGTGGGCTCGCGCGTTTCTCCCTGTCTTGTTTTGGTATCACGCTGGATCGGCGGTTCCTTGCCTGTGGGAGCCGATGGTTTCTTACCTAGCTCTTGCCACTGGGGCCCCAAAGCGCGACGCCCCCTCCCGACACAACCACACACACTGATACACACACGCACACTTTGGCGGTCGCGGCCTCGCGCGCGGCGACGAGGCGAAGAAAGTCAAATACGGCGGCCGACACCACATACACACACACACACACGCACACACACACTTTTTGAGCGCACGCGGCCTGTGCTTTACACACAGACACATCGCGAACGCAACAAAGGTTGGGGTTCCGAAGCAGCTAGCACGTGCGCGACGTTAAATGGATGCGCGCAGGTGGAAACCCGCCCCACATCATTCTGCCGATGTTTCATGTTAGGGGTTGGTGTTCATCGGCCCTTGTCCCATCGTGGAGCGTACGGGTTGCCACATCTGCTCTCTGAGACGTTGCTCCTGGGTTCGCATCGGAAGATGAACCATGGAGAGCAGAGACGTCCACATCCAAGTAGATAGTGATAAGCCGGACATCGGATTATACCGCGATGAGGTGGACACACTCCCACCATGCAGTATTATCGAAGGCGCCGTCACCTGCACTTTGGAAGCGCCTATGGGTTGAAATCTCGACCAAAGGTGCGGCCATGCTAATAGATTGCGTGTTCCCCCAGCGCTTGGGCAAACCGCTGGGGGAACACTGGGGAAGGGCCCTCCAGGGTCACCTTGGGGCTTTTGGGGGCGCTCTCCATTTGGGCCCTCTTGACGGCCTCTTGCGGATCGCTTGAGCTACCTTGGGGCTCTCTGGGGCCCGAGGCTGTTTGAGATGGCCTAGCTGGACCCCCGTGTCGACCTCTTGGGGCTCTTGAGGGCCGTCTTGGAATGCTTGTGGGCCGTCTTGGGGCTTGCCTCTGGGCTCTCGTTGGGCCGTGTGCGGCCGTCTGCGGGCTGCCTCTGGGGGCATCTTGGACCGTCTTGGAACTTGAGTCCAGGCCAGTGGCTGAGACGGCGCATGTCTGGAGAAGCGCCCACAGAGGTCGTCAACTCGGCCCGGACACTTCAGACGCGAACTCGGCCCCAAGACTACGATCGCTATGGTGAAAGCAGTCGTCCATTCAGATCCCACATTTCGTTCGTCAAGACGAGAGGAGCCGCCAACTCGGCCCCGACACTTTGTTCGTCAAGTTTGAAAGACTCGTGCGCGGTCTTCGGCTTCCAGGCCCCCCGAAGGTGTCAACGAGGCATCTCCTCAGGAAGTTTGCGACGGTGCCTCGTGGCCTCTTTGAGCCCTCGTTGGGCGTCTTTGGGGGCTTCCTTGGATCGTGGCGCAGTCTTGGGCTCTCTTGGCCCCATCTTGGCCGTCTTTGTCAGAGAGCCGGCTTGCAGCCACTTGAGGCCATCTAGGTAATCTTAGAGGCAGGTTGTTTTGATGCTACCGTTGTTTTCCAGGTGTCGGCGGCTTGGCCTGACAGCCGCTGGGACCGTGTAGAAAGGGCTTCAAATACATGTAAACAGGATTTGGGATGCCAAGCGCCCCTCTGACAGCAACGGTGTCGGCAGATGTGCAGATCAATCCTAAGTATACCGTACCAAGACTTGAAGTGCACAGTGTAAGCGTTATTTGGCGAGTGCGCTGTGCACGGTGCACAGTACAAGTTATGGTGCTTGATGCGTACAACTCATGCAGTATGGATTACCTACCCGGCCAGACTGTGTTTTGTTGTTTTGGCTGGTGTTCTGGTTGTTGTTGGTTGTCTTTAGTCGCTTTTTGGTTTGCGTTGGTTGTCCGTGCCCAGCCAGGGTCGTTGCGCCTTGCGACGCCATTCAGTATCTGTTTGTTTAGTAGTGCTTACCCACCCAGTCAGGCTGTCTGGTTGTTTTCTGTTTGTGTTTGGTAGTTGTTGATTGTTTGTCTGTTGTGTTCTGATTGTGTTTGGTTGTTGTCTGGTTATGTTTGGGTTTGTTTGGTTGCTTTGGTTTGTTGCTGGTGGTCGTTGTTCAGTTGTTGTTTGTTGTGTTTGTTTTACGGTTCTTCTTTGACATTGTTGTATAAGTTCTGGTTGCCGTTGGTTGCCCGTGCCCGGTCAGGCTGTTTACCTAGCATTGCTTACCCACCTGGCCAGCCCCTTCTGGATGGATTCTTGATTCTTATATAAGTGATGCTTGTCTTTGGTTGTGTATGCTGATTTTGGCTTGTTGTCTGGTTCTTTTGGGTTGTTTTCTGGATGCCGTTGGTTTTTATAATGTTTGTTTGGGGTTGGTACCTTGTTGCCGTTGGTTGTCCGTGTCAGGCCCCCAGGCCGGCCCTCGGCCGTTAGGCCCCATCGGTAGCCCTTTCCCTGTCGTTTTTTTGTTTTTGTTTATTTCTGGTTGCCGCGGGTTTGCCGCGCGGTGCCCGTAGGCCAGCCCTCGGCCGCTGGGCCCCACCGGCAGCCCCTTCCCCGGTTGTTTTAGATAGCCCCTCATGGGGAGCGTTGCTCAAGCGGTGGTTCGTCCAGGCGGAGGCCAATGGCAGGCCATGGCAGCAAATGGCGGAGGACACCGCGGCAGCTTGTAGCAACGTTCCACTGCGTACGCGTCAGGTCATGAATGTGCCTGAGGGTGAGCAAGTCTGAGCGCGAGATGTCAGAGTATGATTGCCTGAGCCTGCGTGGGTCTTCTCGCTTGGGTGCGAACCGTCCATGTGGAATGTTCGTCGAAGAAGAAGCGCAACTCGCGAAATTGTGCGGCCGCGTGCGTTTTCATCGAGGGACGGAGGACATGGCAAAGCCTGCCGAGCATGATGAAGACCTCTCAGGGCCATCTGCGCTCCGCGTGGTCTCGCAGGCACTTTGGAGGCTCTATGCGAACGTTTGAGAACGTTTGCAAACACGTGTGCTGCATTGTGGGTGACTTTTGAACGCGTGTGTTGGAAACGAGCTCACATGTAGCCTGGCGGCCCTTTGGAAGCACTGTGAGATCGCCTGCAAGCACTGTGGAAGCGCTCTGAAGCAGTTTTCTTCAGCTTTGAAGCACTTCGGGAACGCTTGCGAGCATTAGCATGCACTTTGGCTGACTTGTGAGCACACTTGGGCACTTCCAGGGGCACTTGTTGGAAAACGGCTCAGGGCATGTTGGAGAGGCTGTGGAAGTGCTTTGCGAACGTGGGCGGGTACCTTGGAGACTTTCCGGGCATTGCTGGCGATGTTCGGAATACTTTGCGACCGTTTGCAAACGTTTGCTAGCATTTGGGAAGCATGTTTGGCCATTGCCGTAGCACTTCGCACCCGTTTGCGAACATTTGCAGGCATTTTGGAGGCACTTTGGGCACTGCCGGGCACTGACCACTTTGTGAACGTTTGCGCGCGCGTCGGAGGCACTTGTAGGCACTTCTGGGCACTCTTGAGCAATTTGGAACTTTCGAACACGTTTGGTGAATTTTGAAACACGTTTGCGAACGTTTGCAGGCACGTCGCAGGCACTATGGGACCAAATATGCCCACACGTGCTTCCGACGTGCGCGCACATGTTCGCGAGTACTGCAGAGGTGCCCAAAAGTGACCCCAACGTGATTGCAAACGTTTGCAAATTGCCCCCAGCATGGTTGTTGGCGAAGGTGCTTGCGAACGCTCGCAAACGTCCTTAACGTGCTTTGCAACGTGCCCGACGTATCCCGGACGCGTTTCCAAAGTGTTTGCAAACGTTCGCAAACCTTCCCCAAATGCTTCAACAGTGCCCCGAAGTGTGTCCGAAGTGCCTGTCACCGTTCGCAGAGCCCTCCCAAAGAGCCTCCAGAATGCTTTGGGTACTCCTCCAACTGACGCGTTGGGAACATTCGCCATTTTTCGCAGAGTGCTTTAAAGGTGCTCAACAGCTATTGGAGGAAGACGGTGAGGAGGTGGAGGAGGAAGAGGAAGAAGAACAACGCGAGGAGGAGGAGGAGGAGGAGGAGACATGGGAGGAGGATGCGGAGTCGGATGCGAAGTAGTCGGACGAGGCGGATTGAGGCTGGGGTGGAGGAGGGTGGGGAAGAAGAGAGGGGGAGCGATAAGGAAGAGGAGGGGGGGCGGGGGATGGTGCAGCGGGAGGAGGGTGATGGAGTAGGAGGGCGATGAGAAGCAGAAGGATGACGAGGAAGGGAGGGGGACGGTGTCCACGGTAGGGTGCGAACAAAAACAGCTGTAATGGTAATTTCAACACCAGTAGCAGCGGCAGCAGCAATAGTTGTTGTTCGCCGTTGTTATAATACGTGTTGCTTGTTGTTGTTGTTGTTGTTGTTGTTGTTGTTGTTGTTGCAAGGGGGCGCTATGGAGGCACGGCGCGAACGTTTTCGAGCGTTAGTGGGCTCATTGGGGGGTGGGTGGGGCACTGTTGGGCACATTTGGCAGTTTCAACTTGACAAAACTACCATGCGTTTCAGTCTAATGTTTTGCGTGTTGTTTTCTGGTTGTTGTAGGTTGTCCTTGCTTGGCCAGTGCCGTCGCCCGTTGTGACGCCATGTGTGGATTGTTCCTGGAAGGACTAGTGATTAAGTTCTGCTTAGTAGTACTGGTTATCAGTTGTGTATTCTCGTATGCTCTTATGGTTTCTTGTACCGCTTCTTAAGCACTGCTCACCCACCCGGCCTGGCTGTTGTTGGCTGTTGTTGGTTGTACTACGATGGAGTTTGGTTGTGGTTAGTTGTTATTGTTTGTTGTTGGTTGTGTTTGGTTATTTTCTTATTGCCGTGGTTGCGGCAATTGTTTAAAAGCAATATTGCTTAACAGTATTCTAGCTCTTCAGTGACCGGATAAGCAGAAGTACAGGATCAGTGCAAAATAAGAAATAGACCGTATAGTCACACTTCCTAAGCAATGAACGCTTACAGTGTACCGACGCGGATGATGTCAAGCGCGTTGAGAGTGCGATCACCCGTTAGGCGGAAGTAATTGAATTCATGGTGAGTTTGAGGCGGTCGGAATGTGTAGGCCCAGAGATCAACTGGCCAACATTTCGATTTCGTTTAGGGTTTAGGACATCTTCGAAACATTAAAATGTCTTGGGATCGCTCTCGAGAGGAGCCCCACCTGACGATCTCGCGAGGGACATCCTTACAGAAATGATCTGCTGTCGACATCGCTCTTGCCCATACTGGCGATTTCGTCACAAACACTCACAACAATGAGATGTCGTCGATGTCGTCTTGGTCTCGGCCTTGGCCAGAGTGGCGACTTTGCTCGGGACAGCCTCACACAAACGAGATGTTGTCGACATGGCTCTTGCCCAACATGGCGATTCCGCTAGGGACATCCTCACACACATGAAATGTTATCGACGTCGTCTGGGACTCGGTCTCGGGTTACACCGACCAGGCGAGTTTGACCCGCTGGGCGTGTTCAAGCGGCCACGATATTTCAAACGGCCAGGCGGGTTAAATCGGTCAGGCTGGTCAAAACGGCAAGGCGGGTTAAAACCTCCAAGGACGGCAGCGCGATGAAAACAGTAATGCGGTTTCAATGAGGTTTGAAGCAGACACCCGAGTCAAAACGGCCAGGCGGGTTGCGGGTTGAAATGGCCTGGCGGGTTGAAATGCCCTGGTGGGTTGAAGTGGCCAGGCGGTTAAAACGGCCAGGCGGGCTCAAACGGCCAAACGGGTTGATCCTTCAGGCGGGTTTCAGGGGCCACGTGGGATACAGGCAGGTTGAAGAACGGCCAGGCGTTTTAAAGCGGCCAGACAAGTTAAAACAACCACGTGGTTTCAAACGGCCAGGCGGGTTAAAACAGCCATCCGGGTTAAAACGGCAAGGCTTGCGCCAATAGCCAGGCGGATTCAGACGGCCAGGCGGGTTCAAACGGCCAGGCTGGCTCCAACGGCCAGGCTAGTTAAATCGGCCTCGCGGGTTGAAACGGCCAGGCAGGTTCAAACGGCCAGGCAGGCGACCAGGCTGGTTAAAACGGCCAAGGATATCAGCGCGGCCAGGCGGTTAGGCGGGTTGAAATGGCCATGCCGATGAACACAGTCGAGTCACGCGGTCTAAACTGCTAGGTTTTTTGTGCCGGCATTCGGGTCTAAACGGTCAGGCAGGTTCAAACGCCCAGGCGCGGTGGAACGGCCAGTCAAATGATCAGGCAGGTTAAAACGGTCAGGCGGGTTAAACGGCCAGGCAGGATAAACAAGGCAGGCTGATTGAACAACTTAGAACGGCCAGACAGGTTGAAACGGCCAGGTGGGTTGAAACAGCGAGGCGTGCTAGAACGGTCAGGCGGATGATAACGGCTAGGCAAGTTAAAACGGCCAGGCGGTTTGAAACGGCCCGACGGTTTAAAACATCCAGGCAGATGTCCGTCTAATCCGAACGGTCTTGGCGACTCGGCTGGCAGTCAAATTCGGCCCTCCCTTCCTCGTTCCCCTGTAGCTCCTCCTCCTCCCCTCCTCGTCCTCTCACACAATAGGCGTCTCCTGCTTAGCCTGTGTGTACAAGGAGGAGGAGGGGGAGAAGGAGGAGGAGGAGGAGGAGGATGAGAGGAGGAGCACTTGAGCAGTGCCGAGGGCGCAGAAGATTACGATGACCACGACGGCGGGCGGCGACGACGACAGCGGAGGCCTCAGCGGTGACCGCCGCGGGGACATAGTTCTTTTCCAAGTGTAGTTGCGGGTCCCAATGCGTCAATAAGCCCGCGCAAACAAGACCCATTTTTGGGGAGAGGTCAAGATCCAGAGGTTATCTATGTGGGCACTCGCGTGTGCCACCGTGCATGCACGCGAATGTGATTTTGAAGCGTTTGCTTCACGCCTGGATGCGTACCACTCACGTGCATGGCGGAAGGGTGCTCAGAGCAATCTGGGTTCATTCGTCAGGGTTGTCCCGATGATTGTTGTTGCGGTGTCAGCAGCGTGTCTCCTGCGATGGTGCTGCTGGCTCTCGCAAAGCAGCTTCTGCTTCTCAACCTTGACGGTGCCTTGAGAGTGCTCGCCCAACATGGCCGTGCACCCATGGAGGCCATGCACCTTGCATCGTCCGAAGACTTTGTGCTGCCCCGGTGTGGCAGGCGTGGCGGTGCCTTGTCTTGTAGTCCCCGACGTCGTGGTCACGGGCCCTGATATTACTGCCTGTCGCTGTTCGCGGCCCTCTCCCGAGGTCCCACCGACGCCGCAGATGTGCTACTCGGCCCTGACGACGCCAACAGGCGGGGCGGGTTGTGCGGCAGATGCAGGCGGCAGATTGGGCAGACAGAGCTCCTTCGGTGCCTCGGTCGGCAGAGGTCGCCACCGGGTGCACCCTCAAGCACGCCCGATTCGACCTAGTCGGAATGAGCTCCAGTCGCCTCACCGCGTCCGCTTACGCACGTCATGCGTGACGTACTTGCGTGCCCTCCGTGCGTGCTCTTTTGTTGTTGCGTATGTTTGAGCGCGTGCGCGCACGCACGCATGCTTGAGCACGCGCACGTGCGCGCGTAAGCATCTCCATGTGTTCAGGCAAGGACGCCGCTGTATCGTTGTGCGTTGCGCTTGCAGGGGGGGATGGAGGTATGGTGGCACGTTCGGGCCGGGCTTCAAGTGGAGAGGGGAATGTACAGGGCGGTGCGAGATGGGCGAGCTCCCCACTGCCGCTCGTGTCATTTCCTCTTTATGGTCGTCTCTTTCCCATTGACGATGCCCGCTTCGCTCCTCAGCTCTATTTGGCGCGGTATTTGGCTTCCCTCGGGCCGGACGTAAGGGTAGGATGCGGAAGGGGGGGGCTACGCCTTTTGCCTCATGGAGCTGGTTTCGGCCCCGCCGCAGGGCCCACTCATCTATATACGGGCGCCTCCCGGCGCCGGGAGGCGCCAGGAAAACCAGTTGTGCGAGCTGATTTTCTACCCTACCCTCTGCTATGTTATCCTTTCTTGGCGGCGAGTGAGAGGGGGAAGTGAGAAGGAGAAGGCTTTCTCAGAAGGCCGCGGGACTTCTCAGAAGCACTCCAGCCGGCATTCCGAGAAGTTTTTTTGTTGTGCGTGTTCGGAGAAGGTTTAGAGAATTTCTCCCAAGGCCGGGGGAGTTCCGAGCCCACTCAAAAGGCCCGCCCCTTCTCACTTCCCCCCCCTCGCTCGCCGCCGACTTCTGGCGCCAACATCGAAGAGCGGATTTCGTTTGGAAAACGATCGGGTGGGCCCGGAGTGTCCTGGAGAATTTCGTTCCGGACTTCGAGGTGAATTTCGCGCGGATTTCTTCATTGTCAGGAATGAAGATTACAAAACACCCACGCGAAGTCCACTTCGTTTTTCCCTCGCCGTGTCGGGGTGTTGGATCGGCAGACATCCACGCGCAAATCCGCTGCAGCACGTCCGCGAGGTCGGTGCGGTGACCGATGCCTGGGCCCAGCCCTGACGGCTGCCCTCGCGGGCCACCTCCGCCACCTCTCGCGGCCAGTGCGCCTCTGCGCCCGCCTTGTGCCCTGTCCGCCCCTCTCGGGGCAGACGCGCCGCAGCTCCCTTCAGTCGGCAAGGGCCGACGCGCCCATTGGTTCTTTGCCCCTGGCACGAGCGCGCGAGTGTCCACAACGATTTTGGGCATTGACCGCGTGCCAGCACAAGGAGGCGCCAAGGTCAAACGCGAATGAGCATAGCAGCAGCGGCGCCATTCGCATTGAAGAGCGCGGCGCTGTCGCTGGCTGACCATCGAGCAGTTTCCGCCTGCAGTTCGCGCGCCGTTTGACGGTCCATTTCTGAGTAGTTTCGATCACGTTGGGCTAGTTGTTCTGTTTTTCTTCCACTCCTGTAGGAGGACATGCCCGACCTAAGACTCCCGACCTGCCTGCCTTCCGGACGTTCGGAGGGCGTCCCAGCCCCAGAGCAGCCATCGGAGGAGGGAAGGGTACACTTCTCTGCGCGAGCGAGATGGGCACGGAAAGAACGGGAACGATGCCCAACAGCATTTCCTATTCATTTTGAACAGGACTCGCTGTCCGCGCCGCCGCGGTTTGTGTCCAACTGAGACAGAAGGCCGCCTGCCCAACAGCGGCCGCTGTTGGTTTGGGACAACATTTGTCGTTGGGCATTGTACCTAGTCTTTCCGTACCCATTTCGGGCGTCCAAAACTTCCGGCTGTACTTCGCTCATGTTCCCCTTGTTGAGCCTGCTGAGAGGCCCTCGTCGCCACCGCTGGATTCGCATCGAAATCTTGGTCACAACGCACCCCTGGATGGGGTCCATGGAGTAGCGCTATCGATGCCCTTTGGTTTCCCAAAGAGCAAGAACGCCGCGAGCCTTCCGAAGTCTCTCGCCCACCGGAACGCAGCGGCACGCTCTCCGCTCGCAGGGCATAGCCTGCCTAAAAGAAGAAACCCCGCCATAAACATATATAGTTGGCGCTCCGCGCGGGTTTCCTAGATTTGCGCTGGACCCCCCTCCCTGGCGCGCGGATCGCGCCAGGGGCGGCGCCGGAGGTGCCACCAGGGGGGCCTGGCGCCGATCCAAGAAATCCGCGCGGAGCGCCAACATTTTCTCATCATGGCGTGGTTTCTTCTTCGAGGGCCGCTGGTGCCGCCGCCGCGGCACGCTGAGCCACAGCGTCTGCTTGCACGTCGTGTTGAATCGGGCCTGTCCCTCTAAAGGGGGGATGTTCAAAATAGTAAAAAATAATAATGTGGGGACTAGTTTTCAAAGCATTCCTTAACAATTTTTGAATATGTATTTAAACTATGTTTCAACATTCCCGGGAAATCGGCCTGCAGGAGGCAGGCCCGACCTAAAGCAATGTGCGGCGGCAGCCCCGTCGGCAGGGAGGGAGGGCAGGCACGCCGCAGGCCATGCAGCGGACAACGCTGCCCCTGGGCAAGATGATCCAGAGCCCCACGGCGGACGCGAAGGCGCGCGGCGGCGCGCGCGCGCTCCCTGGCCCCCGGAGCTCCGCGCGTCGCAGTTTGGTGCTCACGCCGGGCGTCCGCGTCCTGCCTCGGGCCCGGGGGCCATCCCTGCGTCGCGCACTTCCCTCCGCAAGAGGCATGGGCAAAAGCAGCATAACAATAGGTCTGGGGACGAAATCTTGACGATTGCTTGGCATTTCTGCACGTGCCTTGGCAAGTCTGCAGTTTTCGTCAACGTGCCCGTAGGAGGACATGCCCGACCTGAGACTAACACGGATCGATCCGGCTTGAAGCACGCAGCGTGGAGATGGGGGTCTAGGGCTCCGTGCGTGATCTTTCGCAATGCTGCATCTTTTTAGCAGCGTCGGATCTCAGGGTCCGCCGCCGCCCCCCTATCGAAATTTGAAAATTTCGGATGTTTCCGTCGGCGCCCAGAGGGTTGCCAGGCCCGGGGTGCTTTCCAGCAGCTGCGCCTTCCCGAACGCGCCCCGCCCTCAAGCAGCCAGCGAGCGAGGTGACGCAGGGCTCACCGACAGGGAACCGCACTGCGTGGGCAACCCACGGGCTTCAGCGGCGAGCCCGTGGGGCAATCGAGAGGGGGCTGGGCTTCTCAGCAGGCGGTGGGGGCTTCTCATGAAGCCGCCGCGCCTCCAGAGAAGTTCCCTGAGGGCTGGTCAGAAGGCTGGAGGGCTTCCGAGAAGCCCCCGCCCACGTCTCACCGAGCATGCTCGCAAAGTGCCTGCTCGCAAACGTCCGAACAGAAACAGGTCTCTCTTCCAATATGTATACTGAATCGTGCATCCCCCGCGGCGGATCCGGGCCATTCGCGAGTAGTCACCGAGCGAGCCGTGGCACGCGCTTGTCCGCCGGGTGCCCGCCGCCGAGGGGAGGGCACCCGCTCGTCGGGTCGAGCGGGGACGGCTGCAGGCGAGGGCCGTCACGAGCGCGCACCCAGTGGCGGGCCAGAGGCCGGGCAGGGCGGGGGCACGGCAGCGGGGAGGCAGAGGCGAGAAGCTCGACGTCCGACGACTTGTTCGCGAAGGGCCCCCAGGAAGGGGGCCTCCTTTGCACGGCGGGCCGCTGCCAGGACTCGAGGCACGCGGCGCGCTGGGCGGCCGAGTCTGGTGGCCGCGCTGCCCACTCCTCCTCCGCTTCCTCGTGCTCCGCTCCGTCTCCTCTCCCTCCTCCCTGATCCAGCTCTGGTGCACGCTGTCGGTGGCAGCGCAAGCGGACTGTGAGTGCTGGCCGGCTCGTTCCCCTCAGCGTTGCCCAGGTTCGCCCCAAACGAACAGAAGGGGGCGGCCTCAACACAGACTCGCACATTGTGGCATGAACGCGATACCAAAAGAGATGCACATGCGGGGATCTCCGCGTCCAAATCTGTTGTCGCATTGGCCAGGCTGGCAGGGGTGGACGCTGGATGCGCCTCACGATTCTTAGTCGTGCTTCGGCTCTATGGCGCGGGGCCGCCGCAGTCGGTCCAACCTCACCCCTCAGCGTCACTACTGAGGGTCTTGCGCCCGTGCCACGCAGCCTCACTGACTTCGGCTGCGTGCGATCACTGCCAACTTGGAGCTCTCTCGAGCGCTTCGGAGACATCAAGGCGTGTTTCAATCACCGCGTCGAGGGACGCGTTGGAATTCTCGTCCACGTCTGCTGCTGACCGCGTGTGGCGTATGGGCGACCAGAGGCAGCACCCGTCACGCTGTTGTACGGGCTGCACAGTGCGAACCCCCGCTGGCCCGCGTGGAGTGGCGGGGCACGTCGTTGTGAAGCTGTTATTGTCCTTCTCCTCCTCCTCCTCCTCCTCCTCCTCCTCCTCCTCCTCCTCCTCCTGTCGCCTCTCCCGCGCGCCGGGTCATGCGGCGCCCCGCACAGCACCATAGGGCATGTGAGCTGTTGGCTTGTGCTCCCCTCCTGGCCTGCCATTGGGAGGAGGAGGAGGAGGAGGAGGAGGAGGAGGAGGAGGAGGAGGAGGAGGAGGGGGAGGAGGGGGGGGAGGAGGCGGTGGAGGAGGAGGAGGAGGAGGAGGAGGAGGAGGAGGAGGAGGAGGAGGCCGTTCGCCACACCAGGGTGCAGGAGGAGTGGGCCGCATTGAAAAGCTCAGGGCGTCGCACGTCTCCGCCTGGCTCTGCCCGCCCCGGAGGCACGGACCGCCGCGCCCGCGTCCACGAGGAGCGGCCGCCCCCGGTCGTCCCACGAGAGACGGCGCGGCTGCGCCCACGTCCAGGAAGGGAAACAACACACAGACACAATTCATCGTCGATTCCCCAGGAAAAAAATTGGAAGTGGGGGGGGGGGGAGACGAAAACTCAGGAAATATGGGAAACTATAGGGGGAATCCTGGGATTCGTGTGTGTACTCATTTGTGTGTCCCTGTGCCCCTCATCATGGGGAGGAGGAGGAACAGCCCTTTTCCGATTTAAAAATAAAAAAGATCAGATGAGGAAAAGGTGCCCGTACCTCTAATCTTTCCCAGTTTTGCCCTTTTGGGGCCTCCTGGGCCTCCATCGTCGTCACTGCTGGATTCGCCTCAAAATCTTGGTCAGAATGCACCCCAGGAGAGGTCCGGGGAGTAGCGGTATCAGTACCTTTTGGTTTCCCCATTTAGCCACGCTCAAGTTCTGGAGAGAAAAGGAGCTTTCGGGAATCCGTGCGTGCTGGGACAGGTTTGATCTTACGGTCGGCCTTCCTGTTGAACACAGTTTGCCCGCTCCCGTCCCTGACGCCGTGCGGATTGCGTTCTGGGGTGATTGGTCGCCGGATCGGGCGGGACGGGGTGGTGTCGTCTACACGGACGGCTCGGGTTTCGGGAATGCACAAACGCCTGCGGTGACGAATGCAAAAACGCCTACCAGTTTGGAAACATATCCCCATCCCTATGTTTGACATCACCTCACCTCGATGCCGATCTCAAGGGTTCCCTCGGTTTCTGAGGGCCTATCCCTGAGATTGTCCTCGCCTTCTGCTCGCCCATCTTAGGGATAGGGCTCAGTTCGAGGCTGGTTGTGCGCGTGGGCTCGGAGCGGCCCTGCACCTCCCCCAGGGAGCGGACGCCACGGCTGGGGCCTGCGCTCTGGGCCGCGTCCGCCCTCCACGCCGGCGGGGAGGAGGCCGCGCCTCGGGCGAGCCGCCCGGGAGCGCGGCCGTGGCGATTTCCCCCGCCCCATCGGCACGAGCTGCCTCGCCTCAGCGAGGCCACCACGTCGTGCAGGTCCGGCGTGCGCTCGCCTGCCGATGCCGCGCTCCCCGCTCATCCCCATGGCGCGTGGGCCCCAAGTCGTGCAGGTCGGGCGTGCGCTCGTCTGCCCATGCCGCGCTCCCTGCTCATCCACATGGCGCGCGTGGGCCCCAAGTCGTGCAGGTCGGGCATGCGGCATGCGCTCGTCTGCCCATGCCGCGCTAGCTGCGGCGGGGACGGCAGGGCCCCGGCGATGGCGGAGCGCCTCACAAGAGGACGCCGCTGGCTGCTCTGGCCGAGGTGCTCTCGGGGGTGCCCCCCCCCGAAAACGGGCGTGCCGCTCGTCTCCCCTCTCCACCCCGCTTCCTCGTCCTCCGCTCCTCCTTCCCCTCCTCCTCCTCCTCCTCCTCCTCCTCCTCTTCCTCCTCCTCCTCCTCCTCCTCCTCCTCCTCCTCCTCCTCCTCCTCCTCCTCCTCCTCCTCCTCCTCCTCCCCCTCCTCCCCCTCCTCCGCGGCAGGAGGTGCTTGGCGAGTCCCCGCCGCTCGGCCAGCAGTGCCCTGGAGGCCGTGCGCTCTGCGCAACGTAGCGCCACACAGGCAGCCCATCAGGGTCACGCCTACTGGCTTTCGCGCTCGGCCGCGCCGATTCGGTTTCGGCGGCATGGCACAGCGTGGTTCAGATTGTTCGGGCGTCTTCGGTATTGGTATTTCTTTGTCGACTCGATGATGTGGGTTCTGGCTCCTCCTCCTCCTCCTCCTCCTCCTCCTCTTCCTCCTCCTCCTCCTCCTCTTCTTCCCCCCCTCCCGGGTCACGAGCACGTTCGTTTTGAGGGGGAAGCCTGGAGCCCCCCCAAAAAATGTTGGTGCTCGCGCTCATCCGAGATGCGCTCACGTTCCACCTAGCTGTTGGTGAGCATCTCAGTCTGCAGCGGGCTGATTACACTCAGGAACGTTGGCTCCGTGCATTGCTCCGCCGCGGCACGCTATCCAGGGCCTGGTCCCCAGGCGTCTAAGTCCCAGGCTTTTGGGGCAGAGCGCGTCGCCAGGGCCGCCGCAGCGACACGCTCAGCAACAGTCCCCGACCGTACGTCTGCAGCGGGCTGACTGGGCGTCCGCACATCACACCCTTCGTGCTTGTCAGTGCATCGCTGGCCAGTCCGCGCTGCAGCGCGCAGGCACAGCGCCGCGACGCCGTCCTCCGCGTGCTCGACACGCGCAGCGCGCCACCCAGCGTGGCGCCGTTTGGGACAGTAACGTTTCTACCGGATCATGTTCTACTGGCTCGGATGGGGGAGGAGGCCTTCTCCAGAGGAGGAAAAGGTAATGAACGATACCATTACCGTTGCCTCGTTTTCGCCTTTTCGGGGTCTCCCGGGAGGCCCTCGTCGCCACCGCTGGAACGCACCCATGAGAGGTCCGGGGAGTAGCGGTAGCGATACTTTTTGGTCTCCCCATCCATGATGCCTCCCCGTGCTGTTTGATCGGAGATGTCTCGGACGGGGCGCCGCAAGACAGGTGCCGCGACTGGTCCAGCATTGGCCATGTGTTGGTGTCAGCTTTTGGGCAAGCAGCCGCCTCGTTCTCCTTGCCGAGCTCTGTCTCCTTTCTTCCTGCCGCCGCGTCTTCTGTTCCTGGTCGTCCACCGTCGCCGCAGGCACAGATGATGCAGTCGGCCTACCAGCAGGCCCTTCGGGGGATCGTCTCTCTCCCAGACTGCTTGTTGCCAGTCACATCGTGACATGCCCTCGTTATTTAGACCCTTGTTGGTCACTCTGATGCTGTCCGCGTGCGCGATCTGCTGAAGGTTGCTCCGCTGCCCGACGGAGCCGTGGTTGCGCGGTCGTGCTGCAGCACATTGTATTGAGAGTGTTAGCGCCTCGGTTGTGTACCCATACCACCTATAAGCTCACCTTGTGTGTGATAAAAGAGGTCGGGGTGGGTGAGTGCCACTTTCGGCTTGCGATTGGCCTCGGATCTGGTTCGCGATCTATGTATCTAGCAATATCGTTAATTATGCATTTGCCGTTGTCCCTCTCTATGGGTCTCAGTGTCAACCTACCGGCCCCAATATTGTTTACGCTTCGCGAATCCCCGCCAGCCCATTCAGAAACCTTGCCCACGATAGTTGACTGGTAATGGAACGCAGAGACGCACATCGTGAAACAGAGCGGTCAAAGAGAGGAGGGGGAGGAACGTGTTGAGCAATCTCGGAGTCTATCTTAGAGCATCGGATGCCTTCTTGGAACTATGGGGCTTTTGGGGGGCGTCTTGGGGTCCTCTTGGGGATCTTTTGGGGCATATTGGGCCCTCTTGGAGCTCTTTGGGGGGGTCTTCGGGTCCTCTTGTTGTTCTTTTGGGGCGTCTGGGGCGTCTTGGGGCCCTCTTAGGGCCCCTCTTGGGGGCCTCTTGGGGCTCTCTTGTGGCTTTCCTGGGAGCTTCGGAGGGCCTCCTTAGGGCCATCTCGGAGGCCATCGATCAAAGGAGGGGGGGTCCTAACGTTTGCACCCCCCCCCCAGGGGCCATCGAAATAGCCTCTTAGGGCGGTCTTTGGTTCCTCGGGGGGCGATCTTGGGCGCTATCGGTGCCGTCTTTGGGGCCTCTTGGGCTCTTCTTGGAGCTCTGGCTTGGGCCATCTTGGGACCACCTTGAGGCTTCGCAAGCGCATCGGATGCGAACAGTCGAGAAGGCCACATTCATTTGTTGTCCTTGGGTTGTTGAAGTATGTTGGCTTCTCGGGGAGGTCCTGAGGGGTCTCCAAAAGCACTTGGATCCGTCTTGTGGCCTTCTTGCGGCCTCTTGGAGGCATGTTGTTTGTTTTCTTGAGCCTGGTTGGGCTATCCTGAGCGATATTGGATGCCACCTTGGGCTTTCTGAGGCCCTCTTGGAGCCATCGTGGGCCATCTTGGACGCCCTGACCGCTCGCGACCCCCCTCCGTCCAGGTCAAGGGGAGTGGGTAGGGGGAGGGGTCAAGCTACCCACCCGCCCGCAAGCCGTCTAGCTCACTCCCACCGGCCCTCCCTACAAATAAAAGCAACACCCAAGTCTGAGCATATTCAGCGGTCGTCTTTGGATGGGCAGCTACTGGGAACCAAAGCCGACCCCAGGTGCGCGACGCTTGGTCGAGGTGCGCCACGTGTGCCAGGGGCGCCACGCGCGCCAGGCACCCCTGGGGTCCGAACGTGCCAGGCACGCCTGGTGCGCCAGATGCGCCACGTGCTCCGAGTGCGCCAGGTGTGCCGCACAGTCCAGCCGCGCCAGGTGCGCCGCGTTCGGGGCACGTGCAGAGTGCGTCAGGTGCGCCTGTGCACGTGACAGCACACATCGGGAAACATGTCATGTCAGCCCCCGTCATCCTTGTCGAAAGCCGATGCCCATCATTGTGTCTGGTGGGCCTGCGCACAGCAGGCCACGCGCCACCACCCCCGCGGTCCCTGGCAAAAACCATTTGACAGTGATCGCGGGATGGTCGCGCACACTCCAGTTTTTGCCGCGAGGGGCATGTTGTTTTTTGGTCAGGGATGGTAGCCCTGCGCAAGGCAGGGACTGTGCTGGCAACCCCGCCGTCCTTGCCAAAAACAATACAAAGTGCTCGCGGGCCTCACGAACATTATTCGAGACTTTGCACCAAACTGTACGTTGCACTGTTGTTTGGCAGGGATGGCCGGGTGGGTGTGCCGCATCGGGTGGGCCGCGCATGCTCCAAATGTGGAGGCAGAGTGAGGTTTGTAATGCTTTTGAAAGGGGTGGTGGGGAGCAGGTCGGCATGGTGTCGGCATGGGGTCGGGTTGGCCCCCAGTCGCTTGGGGGAGCGGGTGCTCCTCCCCGAAGGGGAAGAGGGGTTCTGCTGGAAGCGGGAAGAAACGTCTCGTTAGACCGCCTGTCGCCCAGAGGGCTGGCGGGGTCAATCGTTAGCCGACCTCACTAACTATCGGTCGAAATCGCATACCTAATGTCACCGTCGATATTGTTGTACCCATGTACGCATGAATGAATATGAGTATGAACACCACCGCCCCCCCCATGCCTTTTGGAATCGCCCATGTGGCCGAGCGTTGTGGCAAGAGCTCTGCGAAGCTATCGGGCTATGTGTTCCCCAAGCCGATGTAGAAACCCTTCGGGGAGCACTTGGGGGAGGATGGCGGGGAAGATCGGGAGGAGGAGGAGGAGGAGGAGGTGGCATCCTTGGAGCCTCTGGGGGCACTCTTGGGACCTCCTTGGAGCTTCCTGGGGGCCTTTTGGAGGCATCTTGGAGGCCTCCTTGGGCCTTTCGGGGGCGTTTCAGGGCTTCTCGGGGGTTTCTCGGGTGCTTGTTTGGCAGTCTTCATGCATTCCTGGCCCGTCTGACAACGTCGGAAACCGTTTTGGGGGCCTCTTTGGGCCGTCTTTGGGTGCTCCAGAGCCGCATTGGAGGCCATCTTGGGCGTCTTCGAGGCCCCTTGGGCTGTCATCGGGCCCTGTTGGGGCAGTTTGTAAGACCTCGTATGCGATCTTGGGGGGATCTTTGGGGGCTCTTGGGCCGCCTCAGGCCGTCGGAAAATCGAAAGGAACACATGCCACAATCTTTCAGTCACGCGAGGGTTATGAGTGATATGGCACCTTCGGGCCTTCCTGGAGGATCTCTTGGGGGCCTCTGGGGCCGTCTTGGAGACCTCTTGGGGGCCTCTTGGGCTATCCTGGAGCCATCTTGGGCCGTCTGGATGGCCTGCTGGCCCGTCGGACGCCGTCGGAAGCCGTCTTGAGGGCCTCTCTGGGCCGACTTGGGGCCCTGCTCCAGGGCCGTCTGGGACGCCGTGTTGGCCGTCTTGGAGACCTAGTGGGCCGTCTTGGGGCCCTCTTGGGACCGTTTTGGGGGCCTGCGGCTCTCTTGGAGGCTGCTGGGGCGATCTTGGGGCGATCTTCGGGGGCTCTTGGGCCGTCTCGGGTCGTCGGAAGGCCGAGCAGAAGCACATACCAAACTCTTTCAAAAGCCAAAAGAACACCAATGATGTGTGCCTTTTCGGGCCTTCCTGGAGGACCTCTTGGAGGTCTCTTGGGCCGTCTTGTGGACCTCTTGGGGCCGTATCAGGCCGTCTGGGGCCATCTTTCAACCATCTTGGGCCGTCTTGGTGGCCTCCTGGCCCGTTTGACGCCCTCGGAAGCAGTTTTGAAGACCTCTCTGGGCCGACTTGGGGCCCTTCAGGGGTGCTCCAGGGCCGTCTGGGAGGCCATATTGGGCGTCTTGAGGCCTCTTGGGCCGTCTTGGGGCCCTCTTGGGGGCCTTTTGGGCCGTTCTGCGGCCATGTTGGAGGCCGCCATGTTCGATCCTTCAAACACCAGGTGGGAAATCAATGATTTTGGCCTCTTCTTCCCTTCCTGGAAGACCTCTTGGAGGTCTCTTGGGCCGTCTTGGAGGTCTCCTGCGGTCCTCTTGGGCCGTCTTGGGCCATCATGAGACTATCTTAGGCCGTCTTGGATGCATCTTGGGCCGTCTTGGAGGCATCATGTGGCCATCGTAACCGTCTTGGAGGCCATCTTGGAGGCCATCTTGGACCATTTTGGCGGTCTTGGAGGCCATCTTGGACCATCTGAGCTGTCTTGGTGGGCATCTTGAGCCGTCTTGTGGCACTTTTTCCGGGAATTGGGCGCCTTCCAGGTTGCCAGCGGGACGGGCCGGAGCCTCAGGGGAAAGTTCTTGTGGGAAAAACCCAAACCGGAAGGATTCAGCACGCCGGGCACCCATGTGGCAAGCCAACAGCGGGCGGCGGATCGAAGACGCCTACGGCGAGTCACCGCTGCCCCTTGCCGTTGTGGAAGCGCCTATGTGGCTGACAGCTGGGGTAGAGCTTGGTCAAGCTATCGGGCAAGTTTTTCCCCGAGTCGGTTTGGAAAGCCTTCGGGGAACCCGCGGGGGAGCAAGAGGTTTGAAATCGCCCATGTGTCCGAGTGTTGTATCGAGAGCTGTGCCAAGCTATCGGACCATGTTTTCCCCCAACCGTTGTAGAAACCATTCGGGGAACACTTTGGGGAGGATGGCAGGGAAAACCAGGAGGAGGAGGAGGAGAAGGAGGAGGAGGAGGAGCAGAAGGAGGAGAATGAGAGGAGGAGGAGGAGGAGGAGGAGGAGGAGGAGGAAAGGAAAAGGAGGAAGGAGGAGGAGGAGGAGGAGGAGGAGGAGGAGGATGGGGCATCTTGGGAGCCTCTGGGGGCACTCTTGGGGCCTCATGGGAGCGCTCTGTGAGCCTTTTGGAGGCCTCTTGGGGGCCTCCTTGGGCCTGGGCCTCTTGGGAACCTTTGGAGGCTTCTTGGGGGTTGTTCCGGGCCCGTCTGACGCCGTCGGAAGCCGTCGTGGGACCATTTTGAGCGGACTTGGAGGCCATCTTAAGCCACCTTGGCCGTCTTGGAGGCATCTTGGAGTCCATTTAGGGCCATCTTAGGCGTGAAAGGCATTGTCATGCGCAGTTTGCGGTCTCTTCCGGGTGGCCGTCGGGACGGGCTGGAGCCCCAGAGGAGAGTTCTTTTGGGAAAGCAAAGCCGACACCGAAAGGGTCTAGCACGTCGGGCACCCGTGTCACAAGCACAGGGGGCGGCGGACCTGGTGGCATTTGGCCCATCCCGCCACCGTGCCTGGGTTGTGGGTTGCAGGCCTCTTGGATGTTAGTTTGGATATCGTGGGAGGCCCAGGGCCTCAAGGGGGCATGATGAGGCCTCCAGGGGGCCTCTTGGGCTCTTTTGGGGTCCTCTTGGCGCCTCCTGGGGGCATCTTGAGGCAGAAGGCTCGAATTGTCGCTTCGTGCTCCCCCTCTTGGGACCGTCTTGGGGCTCTCTTGGGCGATCTTGGGCGCCTCTTGGGCCGTTGTGGGGCGCTCTTGGACCGTCTTCGGGCCTTCTTGGGGGTCTTTCAGGGCCTTCTTGGGGCAGTCTTGGAGGCCTTTGGGGCCATCTTGGAGCGTGGGAAGCCGGGAAACGCGATAACAGACACCACAAGACAAATCAATGGTGCTTGCCCCTTTGGGCCCTCTTGCGGGACCTTTTGGAGCGCTCTTGGGACTTCTTTGGGGCCTCTTGGGCCGCCTTGGGGCCATCTTGGGCGTCTTGGAGCGTTCTTGGGCTCTCTGGGAGGCCTCTTGGACCCTCTTTGGCGCTTCTTGGGCCCCTCTGGGCCCGGCTTGGGGCCCCCCTGGCCTCTGGAACCGTCACGCGAAGGCAGCCCAGGAACGCGCGGGAGCGCCCAGTAAATTTGGGAATCTGGGGCTCCCGCGGGTGGTCAGGGGGGTCTTTTTCGACGCCTGAGAGGGCCAAAAAACGACGACCCTCACGAGGATTCTGGCCCCGACGGGGGGACCCTCTTGTAGCCCCCTCCTCTTCTGTGAAGCCAAAATCCTTGCTTTTACAAGGGTTTTGGCCCCATTTTGGCCTCCCGAGGGGGCCGCGCTCATCTTCCTTCATAGCAAAATCATTGATTTTACTATGGTTTTGGGCTCATTTTGTCCTTCTCAGGGGGCAGCGCTTCTTTGCGCTTCGAATAGAAAGAGCGTGTTCTACCGCTGCTGGCGGAAAACGGGGGGGGGTCACTACCGGTTCGAACCCCTCCCCCCGCCCCCTCCGGAAAAACCGGGGGGGTCACTACGGGTTCGAACCCCTCCTCCCCGCCCCCAGTTCATCATGAAAAGGGGGGGGGTGTCACTACCGGTTCGAACCCCCCCCCCGCCCCTCTCTCGAAAACCGGAGGGGGTCACTACCGGTTCGAACCCCCCCCCCCCCCCCTCCTCGAGAACCAAGGGGGGGTGCGGACAGTGGTGGGGACGGTGGTGGTGGGGACAGTGGTGAGGGGAGAGCGGGACAGTGGTGGGGACAGTGGGACAGTGGTGGGGACTAGTGGTGGGGACAGTGGTGAGGACAATGGCTGGTGGGAAAAGTGGGGACAGTGGACAGTGGTGGGGACGGTGGTGGTGGGGACAGTGGTGTGGGGACGGGGAGGTGGAAACAGTGGGACAGTGGAGGGTACAGTGGTGGTGGGGACAGTGGTGAAGGCGGTGGCGAGGACGGCGGTGGGACAATGGGACAGAGGTACAGTGGGGACAGTGGTGGGGACAGTGGGGACAGTGGTGGGAACAGTGGGACAGCTCAGTGGGACAGCGGAGGAGTCAGTGGGACAGTGGGGACAGTGGGGATAGTCGGGCAGTGGTTGGGGCCGTGGAGAAAGTGGGGAGAGTGGAACCGTGGTGGGAACAGTGGTGGGGACAGTGGGGACAGTGCGACAGTGGTGGGAGCACTGGTGGGGACAGTAGGGACGGTGGTGGAACCAGTGGGGACTGTGGTGGTGAGGACAGTGGTGCTGGGAACAACAGTGGGGGAGTTGGCGCGGACGGTGGTAGGGACCAGGAGTCATTTGCTGGCGGTGAGTGGGGGGGTGGGTAGGGGTTCGAACCGGTAGTGACCCCCCCCGGTTTTCGAGGGGGGGGGTTCGAACCGGTACTGACCCCCCTCGGTTTTCGAGGGGGAGGGGGGGGGGGTGTTAGGGGAGGGGGGGGAGGTTTGCCGGGGGAGGGAAGGGGGGGGGGGGGGGGTCCAGCAGGGGGGGGGGGGGGTGGAATTTCGGAGGGGGGGGGGGGGGACCCCGGGTTCCGGAGGAAAAGGGTGGTAATTTTCCACAGTAAAGCGGCGGTGGATCACGCTCTCTCCCAGAATACTAGAATCCCCCAGTCCTGAGTACAGAGAACAGAGAACATGAGAGCCTGAGGGGAACTCCACCTCGTGCCTCCAGGCACGGTGGCGGATACGTTCTATCTAAGCAGGTCGCTATCTATCCGTCGGCCTCACTTCCGGTCTGTAGACGCGAGAAGCACGAGACAACCACGGGCAACTACGGCAAACCCACGGGACAACCACGGGACGCCCACGGGACAATCACGGGCAACCGCAGGACAACCGCTGGATACCCACGTGGCATCCGCTGGACGACCACGGATTAATCACAGGGCAATTGCGGGACAATCACGTGACATTTACGGGACAACCTCAGGACAACCACGGTACATCGATCTAGTTCTCGACCGTTTCGATGACTAACCCACCAATATGAAAATCAATGTGTCGAGCGGTCTCACGGTATATAGTTCTCGCATTTGTTCTACCGCTGTCTTTTTCAATATATGTTTGGGTTTCTTGTGTATCGTTCTCTTTCTGTCGATCAATGCCACTATCAAGTTGTCGATCGACCTCGCCGTTTCTAGGTCGGGCTCGCCATCGATTTATCCACTCACCGGACAACCATAGGACAATCACGAGACAACCAGAGGACAACCACGCCAAAGGCAGACTACCACGGGACAGCCGCGGGACATCCACAGGACACCCCCGGGACAGCTCTGGGCACGCCCCAGAAGGCGGGGTACACCGAGTCACGTTGGCGTCGTACCCAGGCCTGCTCCGTGCAGGATCTCTCTTGCCTCCTTGCCGCGCCCGCACGACGCGAACCGGAACGGAAATTGCAACCGATGTTCCGGTCGGGTGGCTCGTTTCACCTCGGTCCCCAGGAGGAGGAGGAGGATGAGGAGGAGGAGGAGGAGGAGGAGGAGGAGGAGGAGGGGGAGGGGGAGGAGGAGGAAGAGGAGGAGGAGAAGGAGGAGGAGGAGGAGGAGGAGGGGAAAGATGAGTCCCAATCCAGTGGAGGTGTTCCAAGCAGGGGCCTTGCCCTCGAGGATCGAAGGGATGGTCGTCGCGGCCGCGGCGGACGGGCGGCGGAGGGGCTGCGGAAGTAGGACGAGGCCTCCTCCGCTGGCGGGAGCCGGCGGAAGCTCGGCGGAAGGCGTCGGGGCTCAAGAGATGGTCAGGAGGGGAAAAAACACACAGACACAATCAATCGTCGATTTCCCAGAAAATATGGGAAAATATGGGAAGTGGTGGGGAAGACAAGAACCCAGAAAATATGGGAAAATATAGGGAATCTTTTTATTTGTGTGTATTTATTTGTGTGTCCCAGTTTCCCTTCAGATGGGGGTCAATGCAAACGGGGGTCAACCAGGGCAGCGGATCCTGCAGGATCCTGCGACGACCCCCTCTGGCTGACCCGGGTCAGCGAGCCGCTCGTGGCCGCGAGGCGGCCGCGCAGATTGGCCGACCCGGGTCTGCGGAGACCTGCGTTGCAGTTTCTCTTTCGTGCATTCCAGTTGTTTGGTTTCCTGCTTACCCGGGTCTGGATTGACCCGGGTCAGAAGATCCCCGAAGGCGGCGGAAGTAAGTGGAAACGTATTTGGGTTCAGGGTTTCCGGAGGCGGCCAGTTGCCGGCCCACTCCCTGCCCGCTTCATGCTTGTGCTTTCAGGGTCCTGCGGGGGATCGGCCATCCTGCCGTGCTGGTGGGCTGGAAACGGCACGAACATTATGATGTTCCAGCCGACTTTAGCCTTGATCACCAGGAAGAATGTCGAGCGCCCCAAAAAGTACCGAAACTCAAGGGTGTTCACGTGTCGGGCCCTGGGGAGACATTCGCCCGACGCTGTTTCGACACCGTTTCGACACTCTTTTGACTCTTTTCCGGGCGCTCGAAAGAAGGAACAATATAACACGAGCACAGCGTGATCTGAAGGTGTCAGCGTTCTGCCGAGTCGGACACGGGATCGGTGAGCATTGCTTCCGAGCGCAGGGCTCGTTTCGAGGTGTCTCTCGCGCGGCGCCCTGCTGGGGGAGGGTAGCAGTGAAATCATCTCAGTGCTCGCCACTGTCTGCCAGGCCCTTGCCCCTGCCACGTGCTCCCATTGCACGTTCGTCGTTGCTCTTTCCCCAATGCCGCGGTTCAGCACGAGTCTGCCCCGGAAGGTCTACATGCACGCTCCGACCGTGACGCAGGCACCACCGCAGTACTACACGCCCCCGCAGCACTTTCAGGCGTCTTTGGCAGCTTCCCCCACCCAAAGAGCGGGAGGATGGTGAGGAGGATTATCAAGCGTGCGATAGCTTCAACGATGGGCAGGCCATTCCCCTCCACTTCCGCTGTTCAGTCCTTGCAGCGCTGACGTAGTTCGGATCCCATGCTTCCTCGTGTGCCCCCTTCCCTATCTCATCCCTCTCCCGTCTCTACCTCTTCCTCTTCTACCTTGTCCTCCTTCTTGTTTCAGACCAATATCCTAGGTTCGGGCCTCCATTATCCTCTTCTACCTCTTCCTCCTCCTCCTCATTTCAGACCAATATTAGGAGCGAGCCTGTTGCGTCTGTGAGGAACTCGGCAGTTACAGAACAGGCCCTGGTACTGGAGCAGCGCGCAACGGCGAGAATCGAGAAGTGTAGGACACCAGTTGGGAGCAGCAGAGGAACACGAGTAAGCCGCAGCGCCTGGGTGTGGCAAGGACGATCTCCTCCCCCTACCCTGCGACAGCATGCCGAAGTGTCAGGCTGGCCACAATCGTCTGCCTGGCCTGAGTGGCAATGTAAACAAGGGGGTTTTCTGCCGTGAGCGGCTGGCTCGGACGGCACCGGCTGGCCTGAGGCAGAGGCGTATCGTAAACGATTCTCAGCTCCCCCACCGCCTCCTCGAAATCCGACAGCGCGCCGAGTGTCAGGCTGGCCAAAATCGTCTGGCTGGCCTGAGTGGCAATGGGAGCACGCTTTTTTTCTGCCGTGGGAGGCTGGCACGGACGGCGCCGGCTGGCTGAGGCAGAAACGCACCGTAAACGATGCTCGTCCTCCTCCACTACCTTATAAGTAATCCACCACTACTCCTCCACCATACAGTGCTTACCACGCATGTAACGAAGTGCGGTGTAAGAGCAACAAACATATATTGCAACAAGTGGTTGCTTGTGAGCGCCGCGGCAGAATGGGGGCCCATCATTCGCGAAGACGTGCGAGCGGGCTTTCCTTGACATCAATAAGCCGAAACACAAGTGTTCTGTGATTGCCCTCACCGGGGGTGAAGATAGCAACGGCGCTGGCAGCTTTTATCCTCCTCCATACAACGATCCTCCCCCGCCGCCACCACACACAGTGTGCACCACGCATGCAGCATAATGGTAGATGATGAAGGGCGAGCGCACAGCGACCATACAATGCGAACATGCATCAAAGTGTGCAACGTGAGGACAAACATACAACAGCAAAAGCAGAAGTGAACCATCATCATGAGATACGATTGACAGCAGATGATTTCGAATGCGAAAAAAGGAATGGTGACGAAGTCATGGCGCTCCATATTGCATCAAAGTGTGCCTCGTTAGCAGCAACATCCCACAGCAACTCCTCGATGTCCCGCATCTTTGCCTCATTCCCAAATGTTGCAGAGCATTTTTTCGATGTAAGGCGAATTTTGATATTTTAACTTGATGACTGCATTTTTGAAGTCGTTTTAGCAACCTCGAACTCGATCTGTTGATGTACTCTATATTTTCGCACTTGACGCAAACTGCATGGCTTTTGGTAAGCACCTCCCATCGCCCCGTCAAGGGATCCAAATTGCCAAGCTTGCCCCCCGTCCCATTGTTGGTTTTCTTGTGTTGTAGGCGTGCCGAGCGCACTGGGGTCCGAAATTGGAAGGCAGTGGCACTTGTATTGCCATCCTTTTTCGACAGGGTGTCATCGGTGTGTTCACACTGTTCGGAAGCTGTGGTGCAGCCAGTCTCATGTTCAACACTAGTGGCGTGCTGCCTGCGGATCTGCACTGCTGCGTCGTCTCGATCTCGTGGTGTCCGATCGCGGGGGGAGGCGTCGTCGACAATCGTTCCTACAGCACGAGGTGCCAATCCATTATGAGGGTGGCTATTGGCATTTCGAATAGCATTGTCGACTGAAACCTCTCTCTTTGGATTCAACATCGGTTGCAGAATCATTCGGTGGCCGCGGCAGCTCCACTGACAAAAAGTGCGGCGGAAGCGTAGACGGTGGAGGTGGCACCAGACAAAGTAGTGGCAATTTAGACTCAGATGGTGGCAGAAGGAAGCTTGTCTGCAAATCCTGGCCGCGAGGGATGAGGGTGGCCTGCATATCGATATCTTCTACAACAGGAATGCAGTAGCATAGATGTCAATGTTTCACTGCCAAAGGTTGTTTTGCTGCTGCTGCTTGCCAACGGGTTGCCACGAGTCCTGAGAAGTATATTGCAAAACTGTTCTTATGTCAGCCCCATTGAGAGGAATATTGCGCGTACGAGCTAGATGCCCAATCCTTCGAATGGCTTTTGTGGCAGCTGCGCCAGAAAAAGATGAAACACGATAACGATGAGACATACCTGAAAGGTGGGGCAAGGCCTGGACAGTGTCGGAGAGTCTCGTCTAGTACGCGGCTGGCCCACCTGAGGGCGTGCGCGCATGGGTCCGGGCCCGCTTTGTCCAAACCTTCCTCTTTCTCCTCCTCGTCCTCCCTGTTTCTTCCGGAACTGTCCCAGTTGCCCGCCGTGCTCCTCGAGACGTCGCAAATCGTTGGCACCCGTTGGCCGTGCAATTCGGCACCCTAGACTCGTGGCGACCGCGATCCAAGATTTACCGAAATTCGAAGCCACCGCCCTATTCATCCCTTTTCCGCCTCATCCTCCTCCTCCTCCCCCTCCTCCCCCTCCTCCTCCTCCTTCTCCTCCTCCCTCTCCTCCTCCTCCTCCTCCTCCTCCTCCTCCTCCTCCTCCTCCTCCTCCTCTTGGTCATCCTTCCCCCCCCACGGGGCCGACGGGGGGCCCCCGGGGCCCGCAGGAACAGGAGGGCCTTCGGAGGGAGGATAATCGACACGAGCACCACCAGGGGGGCCACCCCCAGCGAGGAGGTCCACGATGCCTCCCAGAGCTGGAGGCTGGGGACGTCTCGGGCGAGAGGGGAGGACCACACCACCAGGGAGGCCCCTCCTTGCTCCTCGCATCTCCTCGCCCTGGTGCTGCTGGTGTCGCCTCTCACGTCTCCCAGGCCTGGGCCAGGCCCCGACGGCAGGCCCCCGGGGGGGCCTCCGACGGGTCGCCGCGGGCGAGGCGCCTCGGGCGTAGGGATTTGGGCCTGGCGAGCTCGGACCTCCGTCGGGTTTTCCAGCGGGTGCCTCCCGCGCGAGGCCCTCCGCGCCCGCCTCGTGCGCGCGGCCACCGCCGCGCGCGCAGCCGACGGAGCCGAGGCTGCGAGCCCGTCCCCGCGTGCTGCCCGAGGCAGGGCCGCAGGGCGGGGCCCTCGTCGGCTGGACACCCGAGGTGTGGGCCTCTCGCCCACAACAGAAGCAAGCAGCACATCGGGAGGGAACAGCACACAGAGGCACAGTGGATCGTGGATTCCCCCGACCAGATGGGAAACTACAGGAAGTGGGGGGAGACAGAAGTCCAGAAAGTACTGATATATGCATGGGGGAGTCCTGTGCTTTGTGTCTATTTATCTGTGTGTCCCAGTGCCCCTTCAAGCACGGCCATCTTCCCGCCCATCGCGCGCCGAGACTCGAGCAAACAGGAGCGGTTGGCCATTGAACCAATAGCCCACGTCTGCAGATTCATCCCAGCAGTCGGCTGGAGGGCTCCTGAACGGAGCAAGTGGCATGGGCTGAGGCTGCAGGGCGGTGGCAGGGGGGGAGCTCCTCAGCCTCGCCTCTCTCCGCCCGCACCTCTCCGACATCGTCATGGTCCCGGCGCACCTCCCCCTCGCCTCTCTCCGCCCGCACCTCTCCGACATCGTCATGGTCCCGGCGCACCTCCCCGTCCCCGACCCACGCATGAACTTGGTCTGTCCAACGAGCGGCCTCGCAGCAGCTAGCTTCGAGGCCGCGCCACAGGTGCATGTGCTCTGCTCCGACACCGTGCAGACTGCCACTGCCACCTCCCTTGGGGAACTCGTCTGCCACATTGTTGCCGTGCTTCTCCCACAACGTGCTCACACCACTATGCAAATCTGTCATGCTACAGTGGGCCTCAAGCAGTTGCAGTCACAGTAAACGTCAAACGGGGCCAAGGCAAGCTGAGTCAACATGTGCACTGCGTAGTCCTCCCAGACCCTCGCCGTTTGGCGAGGGGCGGCATCGAGGGGACGGGCCTGTAGGCGGCAGCCAGGACTTGCCCCAACGGGTCGCACATCACAACCGCCCAACCAGCCCACGCCAGATCTGGCACATAAGGAGGAAGGGGAGGAGGAGGAGGAGGAGGAGGAGGAGGAGGAGGAGGAGGAGGAGGAGGAGGAGACGGAGACGGAGGAGGAGGAGGAGGAGGAGGAGGAGGAGGAGGAGGAGGAGGAGGAGGAGGGAGGAGGGAGGAGGGAGGAGGGAGGAGGGAGGAGGGAGGAGGGAGGAGGAGGAGGAGGAGGAGGAGGAGGAGGAGGAGGAGGAGGAGGACCGTAGCCATTTTGGCTCAAGCCATTTTGGCTCAAGCTGCAACACCCCCAGCATCTCGGCTCTATGTGCTAGCTCATGGCGCCGGGTTCCGGGTGCTTGGTGGCTGCGGGACTCGCCCCGGGTGAGTGGCGAGAGCATGCTGGACGTACGGCTACTGCACGGCGACAGCGGCGAGCGCGTGCCATCGAGTCTGCAGACAACCTCGTCAAGAGGCTGACGCAGGAGAATCTGTCTCTTCAGGAGCAGCTTGAGGAGCTTCAGGCGGTCCTCGGGGACGACTCCGAGCTCTCGGCGCGGCTCAGGCTCGTGGCACCCGTGCTCGCAGCAGCGATTGCGGGCAAGCTGCCGAGCAAGCTGCAGGTGGCGCGGCGCAACACGGCATCTCATTGTTTCAATGTCAAGGCTGTAGTCTTGGAGAGTGCGTCCCAGTCCGAGCTGAACTCCATCCAGCGGCAATCGAAGGCTCAGGCGATATCCCATGGTCCTGCCTTGCCGCCCATGCTGTCAGTGAATGCGCTCTGGGTTGCGGACCTCGAGCGGACCCTGGCGGAGGCTGCGGTGGAGCGACACATTGCCCCCGTTCCTCTACGTCGCGATGCTGCTGAGTTTTTTCCTGGGGAGGGTCGCTGGTTTCCGATCGAGGGATGCACAACTGCGATGGGCCACCGTTGTACTTGCGGTTCAGTGGCTTTCTCCTCGGTGCCCATCGGCGCGACCTGCTTCGTGAAATACCCGATGCCGCAGAGCAGGAAAATGGTGGCGCCGCCTGCCGTCGGGGCTCCAATGCCCGATGCTGCAGGTGGGTGCGCCGAGCATCCCTCCGATGGGGTGCCCCCCCCACGGAGGACGGCTCTGAGGGTGAGCAGGCGAGAGATCGGGCCCCTGTGGGGGATGACTGCCCTGCTGGTGGTGCTGCTGCTGCGGCCGCGTGGGGCGTCTACATCAACGAGCGGTTTGAGGAGCTGCAAATGTGGTCGCCCTCGGCGGCTTCTTCCTCTTCGTTCGTCCGCCGTCGTAAGCGCGTCGATTACATCTCGGAGCGCACCACGGAGCTGGAGGAGTGGAAGGTGTCGGCAGCGTCATACGCAGACCGTCGATTCGTTCGGAAGCGCAAGCAGATCGACCTTTTCGGACGGGAAGCTCTCGGGGCCAAGGACTGGGGCGCCTCAGATGTTTCTGCCAGCGACTGCAAGCAATCGTAGCTGACTGTTGCTCTTGTGGTTGTCTTTCGCATTCGACATATGGTCTCAGTGAACGTTGCCTGATTGTTTGTCGCTTGCTGCAGTGATTGTCCTCATGTAGGGAGTTGTGTTTCTTGGCATACAGGTCTCACGCTTTCACGGCTTTCGTTCTTGCGCAATGTATGTTGACCGTGTTCTCCATATCCTCGTGTGCATGATGCCCTCAATGCTTTTGAGGAAGACCAACCATATCGTATTGTGTGTTTGACCCTCCGTTTCAAAGGTAGACTTGCTACAGCAATGTCATTATCATATTGAACTCGTGGATTGCCTCTGGTGCCTCGGGATGTGCGATGATGATGATGGTGATGATGATGATGATGATGATGAGGAGGAGGAGGAGGAGGAGGAGGAGGAGGAGGAGAGGGAGGAGAGGGAGGAGAGGGAGGAGAGGGAGGAGAGGGAGGAGGAGGGAGAGGGAGGAGAGGTAGGAGGGAGGAGGGAGGAGGGAGGAGGAGGGGAGGAGGGAGGAGGGAGGGAGGGAGGAGGAGGGAGGAGGAGGAGGAGGAGGGGGAGGAGGAAAGGGGGAGGAGGAGGAGGAGGAGAGGAGGAGGAGGAGGAGGAGGAGGAGGGAAGAGGAGGGAGGAGGGAGGAGGAGGGAGGAGGGGAGGAGAAAGGAGGGAGGAGGGAGGAGGAGGAGGGGGGGGGGAGGAGGGAGGAGGGAGGAGGGAGGGAGGGAGGGGGGAGGGGGAGGGAGGAGGGGAGGGGGGAGGGAGGAGGGAGGGGGAGGGGGAGGAGGGAGGAGGGAGGGAGGAGAGGAGGAGGGAGGAGGGAGGAGGAGGAGGAGGAGGAGGAGGAGGAGGAGGAGGAGGAGGAGGAGGGGAGGAGGAGGAGGAGGAGGAGGAGGAGGAGGAGGAGGAGGAGGAGGAGGAGGAGGAGGAGGAGGAGGAGGCGGAGGAGGAGGAGGGAGGAGGAGGAGGACGATGAGGAGGAGGAGGGGGAGGGGAGGCGGAGGAGGAGGAGGAGGAGGAGGAGGAGGAGGAGGAGGCGGAGGAGGAGGGAGGAGGAGGAGGAGGAGGAGGCGGAGGAGGAGGAAGAGGAGGAGGTGGAGGAGGAGGAGGAGGAGGAGGAGGAGGGGAGGAGGGAGGAAGAGGAGGAGGAGGAGGGGGAGGAGGAGGTGGAGGAGGAGGAGGAGGGAGGAGGACAAAGAGGAGGAGGATGAGGAGGGGAAGGAGGGAGGAGAGAGCAGGTGGAGGGAGGAGGGAGGAGGGAGGAGGGAACAGGGAGGAGGGAGGAAGGAGGAGGGAGGAGGGGGGCTGGACCTGTTCGCCGGGACGTCTTTTTGTTTCTTCATTCCCTTGCGAGCCGTTTCTTGATGACCCCGGGGCCCGGTGGTGAGGCGGTCGAGAAAGCCGCCCCACGAGCTGCCCGCGGTGGCTGTTCCACGGCGCTCGGAGGCCTCTGACAGCCGTCGGGCGCCTGCTTTCCGAGCCGCCCAGGGGCCGCCGCCCTCTCGGGGAAGCGTAAGGCTCGAGTAGGCGTACGTCGGGCCTGTCCCTCTACAGGAGGAGTGTTCCAAACTAGTCAAAAGATAGTCTGAGGACGATTTTTATTGTTATTTATCAGCATGTTTCATAATTGTTTGACTACTTTTCACGTTTCGTCCAGGACCCCCCTGTATAGTGGGACAGGCCCGACCTAACGTCTGACTCGAGTGCGCTGGAACTCGGGTTTGCCGACGCTTTTTGACGAGCGCGTCCTGGATTTTGACGGTCCAGTTGTCGTGGGATGCCCGCAGCGGGAGCTCGCGCCAAATTTCAGATTGGGCCTCGTCATTTTCGTGATGGCCCCTAGGAGGAGGAGGAGGGGGAGGCGGAGGAGGAGGAGGAGGAGGAGGAGGAGGAGGAGGAGGAGGAGGAGGAGGGAGGAGGAGGAGGAGGAGGAGGAGGAGGAGGAGAGGGAGGAGGAGGAGGAGGAGGAGGAGGAGGGAGGAGGAGGAGGAGGAGGTGGAGGAGGAGGAGGAGCAGGAGGAGGAGGAGGAGGAGGCGTCCCCGTAACCCGAGTCTTGCGTCTCCCCGACCATCCCGCCGGCCCCCTTGCCGGCCCCGACTCCCAGACGCCGACCGCCCTTCCCGCGGCGGCGACGACGCCGACCGCGGCCAGGGCGACGGCAGCGACAGCCACGGCAGCAGCCTCGGCGAGGGCGTCGGCGACGGCGACCGCGACGATGACCGCGAGGGCCACTAATTTTAAGTCGGGCCTGCCACTCTACAGGGGGAGTACTCAAAAGTAGTAAACAAATCAACCGTGGACGATTGTTTGATTGTTTTTGCCCATTTGGGGGAATTTTTTGAGTTTGTTTCATTTTTCGCCCCAATCCCCCTAGTAGGGGGACACGCCCGACTTAAGGCGAGGGCCGCTAATTACGGCGACGACGTGGGCGACCACCGCGGCGGCGGCGGGGGCGATGCCGTCGGCAAAGGCTACGACGGCGGCGGTGCCGACGGCGATGGTCGCGGCGACGGCGGCGACTGCGACGGCGGCGTCGACCGCGGCGTCGGCGACGACGAGGTGCAGCAGGCGCCGATGGGGCAGTACGTGGTGCACCAGGCGATTCCGCCGGGCCAGGCCCGCCTGGGGCACCGGAGGGCGGGGGGGCCATACGAGGAGAGAGGGGGATGAGAGAGAGGGAGGAGGGTAGGCGAGGGAGGAGGAGGGAGGAGAAGAGAGAGAGAGAGAGAGGGATAGAAATACATATATATATATATATATAGAGAGAGAGAGAGAGAGAGAGAGAGAGAGAGAGAGAGAGAGGGGAGGCGAGGGAGCCCAGGGGAGGGGGCGAGGAGAGGGAGAGAGGGGAGGGGGGAGGGGAGGGGAGGGGAGGGAGGAGGAGGCAGGAGGAGAGAGACAGATCATGGGAGTGGAGGGCACTCCCTCCTTCCCCGCGCCCGCAGTTGGCATGCCCAGGCAGGAAGCCCGGCAGCGAAGGGGGGGGAGGCAGGCGGGGGTCCGCCTGGGGGGAGGCCGGGGGCGCCACCCCCGAGCCGGGGGTCGGGTGCCGGGCCTGCTCAACTCGACTGGACGTAAGGAGTGACCTTTCGCCGGAGGGACCTTCGGTGCGGGCACAGACGGGTCCCCAGATGGCCGAAGACGAAGCCGCAGCAGCTGGTTGCGCGCCCAGCTTTGGCCCCCCCGCGGCCCCCCAAAAGCCGCGCAGCAAAAGGTCGCTCTTACCCAGGGTCACCCTTGCGTGTAGCCGAGCCTGGGGGGAGGCCAGGGGCCCCACCCCCGAGCCGGGGTCGGGTGCCGGGCCTGCCCACGTCGGCGGAGGACCCCAAGATCCAGCGCATTGACAAAATCATTACGGAGGTTTTTCGCCGTTTTCGGCCTCCGGGGGCCCTCGCCATGCCCTGGGGCCGTCAACAGAACGATTCGGGATGAGAGACCGGTCCTGGGGGATGGCTCGAGATCGCCGGGGACCGCACATTGAACAACATCAGGACATCGGATGTCTGCTCAAGTGGGGGCCGCGCGGGGGGGGGGAGAGGAGTTCGCGCCGCGATGCGCCGAGCGAGGGATAAACGGCATGGCGCCGCGATGCGCGAGCGAGGGGGGGAGGTCGCGCCGCGATGGCGCCGCGATCGCGCCGCGATGCGCGCGCCGAGCGAGGAGGAGATCGCGCCGCGATGCGCCGAGCGGAGAGCAGGAAGACGGCATGAGCATATGAACGGTTGGCGCTCCGCGCGGGCCGCGTGGATCGAGGCCTCCTATAGAGGAGGTCCGAGCAGCTGAGGTCGGAGCGCCGCGCCGCGTCGCCGAGGGGGCTCGGTGTGGAGCCCGAGTTGCTTCACATCGACGTTGCCGATGCGTCGCCGACGTCGGCGAGGCATCGCTGGTGCCTCGCCGATGCATCGCCGAGGTATCATCGGCGATGCGGCGCGATCCTCCGACCTCGTCTGCCGGAGCTCGTCTGAGGTGCTTCTGGGGGTCGCAGGGCAAAACACGGCAGAAACACTAAGTATTCGCGCTCCGCGCGGACTTCTTGGATCTGCGCTGGGCCCCCCTGGTGGCGCCTCCGGCGCTCCAGTGCAGATCCAAGAGACCCGCTTGGAGCACCACAATTTCATGTGTATGCCGCTTTGTGTTCTCCTAGGAGAGGAGATCGCGCCGCGATGCGTCGAGGGAGTCGGCGACGCGTAGAGTGGCCGCTCGCTAGAGGGAGCTTGCCTCAGATACCGTGGCGTTGCAAGTGGCTAAAAGCGTGGGATCTCGCTTTTGTTCCAGAACCCAGCAAACAGGGCGTTATTAAACGGGCCGGTAGCTAAGGGCGCGGACTATGAAAGGTAGGAGGAGGAGGAGGAGGAGGAGGAGGAGGAAAGGGAGAAGGAGGTGGAGAGGGAGGAAGACGACGACGAGAACGACGACGACGACGACGACACCCACGACCACGACCACCACCATGTCGGCGAAAGTTGCCGACGACCAGGACGACGACGACCATTTCGCGAACGTGTTATCCCACAACTTGTTTTTACCTTCGTTTGTTTCTCCATCTCGCTCGCACCCGCCCGCTAAGTCTATGGATTGAGCCCCCTTGCCAGCGCCTGGGAAGCATTCGGCAGTGCACTGTGCGCGCACCACCCTTCCATGGCCGCATGCGAGCTAACGCGCCCGGGGGCAGTTCATCCGTTTGATTGAGATGCGCTGTTCCTGCATGTTTGAGGCCTCTCTGGCCAGGGCGTCTCGGCTTAAAGTGTAAGACAGCATCGAGCGGGAACCGTTGTCGTTGCAGCTTGGCCGTCGCCAACTTGATTGAATTGCGAGGAGTCCTCGAGCGGGTGCGCCGTTCCTGAGTTTGGGGGGCCTCTCTGGTCAGGGCGTCTAAGGTAAATTGTCAGGAAGCATGGGCCGGTAATTAACCGCTGTCCGCGTAGTTTGGGTTTCAACTACCGAGACCTGTTCTCACGCCCGCGCTTCAGCGGGAGTCTTTCTGTCAGAGGGCGTGTAGCTGGCGTCGA